TATTTATGTATTTATTCTTGAGACAGGGTCTTACTCTGTAAGACTTAGCGGGGTGTGGGCTTTTATAGGCGCAGAATAGGGGAGTGTGTGCTGATTGGTTTGTGAGTATTCAAAACAAGTTAAATGCACCACTCAAAGGTGGGCATGACAGTGTAAAAATCCAATTAGAGGAGCATAGGTATATGTAAGATAGGTGAAGGGTGAGGATCAATCAGAGGAAAGCGTGCCAAATAGGAAACAGGTTCTCCGGTCCATGGATTTATCTGAGACTTGTAGCTTGGCCATCATGCTTTAAACAGTCTTTGGTTTGAAGGTGGTGTTTTACCTGGGACCCACCGCTGTCTGCCTAGGCATTGGTCTGCCTGCTGCTGCTCTCACTATAACATAAGCATTTCTGTTCATTATAAACTTGCCATTTTAAGTGGCTGAATTCAACTTCACCATGTAAAATGAACCATAGTTTACCAGACCATTCCCTCATTCATTGTTTGAAATGTAGATTGGTGGTGGGGAGCGTTTCTTTGCTATTATAAATGGTAATGATGAAGGGAGCATTTCTATATAAAGTATTTTTTGGTGTGTATGTGTGGTAATGGCTAGGTTAATGTGCAGGGAATTTTAATTAAGAATGACAGAAATGTAAAGTTAATACCCATAGTGTTAGGGTAAACTAAAAAAAAAAAATTCTGTTAGAAAGACAAATGACAATTCAAAGTAAAAATATAAATAATTTTCTGTTTTGTATTTAAATATAAAAAGATACCAATGTTTAAATTCTTGAAATTACTATTGTTTCTTTTTAGTCTCTTAATCCTTGGTTTGACCTTAATCTTTTCATAATCTATATTCACTAAATAATAATTGATGGATCCTTGAAATACTTGTTTTACATACTGTGGGTATTTTCTTTTGAGTTTTTTTTTTAATTTTCAAAACACTCATGATCGTTATTTCTTGTTTATCTGTGGAACATTTTATTGCCTAAGAAACAGTTCAGTGAAATGTTTTCATTGATGTCTGTCCAGACAATAAGTAGTACACAGTATTTTTTGTTTGTTTTTCAAGAGAACTAGTGAATACAAAGCTGTTTAAATTTACTTTATGTTATGTACCATATTTTGTGATTTAATTGCGTTCATTTTCATCTTCATGTAAATTCGTAATGGCTAGCTTGTTGGTATGTAGGGGAGGAAAACTTTTCCTCCACCCACTTAGGCTTTATTGCTGGGATCTGTGAATTAAACTAACAAAAAACGTTAACAGAAGAGGTTTACAGCTTGTACTGATGTTAATATTTTTGTGTGCACAGGAGTATCAAAGAAAATAAGTAAAATCCCAAAGAAACACTTAGATTCAGAGGCTCATATGCCATCTTAACAAAGGGTGATAAATTGTGAAAGGACAAAGGAGAAGAAGTTTGGATTTCTAGGGTTCATAAACTGTGGGAAGGTGATTAGATGGTGTATGGAGGAAACCAATGGTAATAAAGGGTTATTTAGTAAGGTTTGTTTATGCAAACTCATCTTGGTGCCATCTCTTTGTGCTGTGGTAAGGGTTGTTGTTCTCTTCCTGGTGTAGAAGAAGGGGGAGTTTATGCCTTACCTTACTTTTAAGTAGAAAGAGGGAGGGCATAGAACTTTTCCTGAATCTGTTGATTTTTAATTGCTTTCAGCTCAAAATAATATACCAAAGTGGCGTATTTGGGGGTGGCATCTCCTGATCCCCCTTCAGGAGTTTGTGGTTTTTCAGGTTAATCTGGCTATAAATTGTGTATAAAATCTTCCATGCATTATATGATTATCCATTTTCTATGCAGAATCTTAGGGTTAATGAAACATTTTAGGTTTTAAGGATTTTGTAAAATTTTAAAAGTTTTAAGAATTATGCTTTAAAAAATGGTTCTAGGTAGAGGTAGTAATAGGATTTTCTGTGTTCCAAGCATTTTATTTTCTCTCTACCAGTTTTAAGATCGTGTGTAATCCTCATAATAATCAGGTGTTTATGTTTATAGGCAGGGAAACAATGTTAGGGAGGTAACGGAGTCTGAATTGAAACCTTGGTATTCTGATCTGAACCCCTTGCTGGCGTTAAGATAATTTTTAAATGAAAGATATGTACAAAGGGAAAAAAAAAAAAAAGGCTGCTTACTTTATCCCCAGTTGCCTTACTCAGTGCCTTCTGCATAGGCGGGTATACCTGAGGAGGGAGTGACAGTGTATAGATGTTACTGAAAACTGAGAATCAGCGTTTTGAGGCAAATATGTACATTAAATACATATTTATATGTATAGATATAAATATCTATATTAGTATTGAGGCAAGAGCATCAATTTGCTTATGAAGTTAGCTAAAAACATCTGAGACTTTTTCTCCCTCTGCAATTTAGAAAAGGGAAGTAGGCAGGAGTTGTTTTCACACAACTCGGATTCATTTTCAGTGTGGCTGTTTGGCCACTTTCATTTTCATTTTTAAAAATTCCTCGCTGTAGTTGGGCAGCCTGTTTTAGGGCTTCTCCAGTATTTAAGTTCTGAGAAATGGAATTTTGTTATTTGATGTGAATACTGTTTGAGAATTGGGCTATATTTAAAAAATAAAAAAGCTGAAGTTAGGGAAATGCAATTAAAACCAAAATCTCCCAACCCAGAAAATTGCTCCACAAAGGTAGAAAGAAAGAAATCAGGGTTATTATTGAATGAGCATTAAATCAGACTGCTGTGCACATCACAGGCAGTCACTAAAGGGATGGCAAAGACTGGAAGAGATCTTATGTTTTATGCAACTAAGTGGTTACAATCCATTACATCCATGTTTTCAAGATAAAGTTGCTAATTTTTTCACGTTTTTATGACTAGAGGTAGATTTTACACTTTGGAGTCAGGTGACAAATTAGGCCCATCTCCTCCTAGGAAACCAGGAGATTGAGTGTTATTTCCCTTGGTGATTACATTTCAGAGATGGCTTTCAGGTCGTTAGAAAACATAGTCAAGTTTTAAGACTAGAGACTTAAATTTATGTACATTGAAAGGGAGGGAGAAAGAAATTCTGGAAAAGAAAAGGGAAAGGGACCTTTTCCCTTTTATTTTCAACAGGGAGAACTATGCCTCTTATTTTGAATTTGTATTTGTCCTTATGTCAACAGTTGGTATTTTGTATCTATACCATGTATGTCCTAAGTAGTGTAGGCGTGGTTGTGGTTAGTGCCTTATCTCACACAGCACTTTTGCTGCTAGGAACTTAAAGTGCTTCATACGTTTTTTGGTTTTCTCTGTTAGCTTACCATGAGTATTGCTTAGAGTGTTTTAATGTCATGGTTATATTGTGGGTTTTTTTGGGACTTTCTGGAAACTGCATTTTGGGCTTTGTGAAAGTAGGAATAAAATCTGGACGGTAATATTTGCAAAGTTAATGATATCAGAATCTGTGACACATAATAACATGGATGAGTTGGAATTATTCTGTCACCAATTTTGAAAATTCACAGCAAGAAGTTCTAGGTGCCTTTAGACTTCAGATCTGAGTGGTTAGCTATTTCTTGTTACTAGCCTTTGAAAAGATACAGCCTCATTACTGCATTTAGATGGTAACTTGGATCACGTTTGCTGGTTTGAACTAAAACTTGACTGAGTGCCTGATATGTGGCATGCCAGTTTCAGAGTTATCTTAAAGGGGCCTATGAAACAGGATTTTGCAGGTTTGTACTTTACATCACAGTGATCAATTAAAATAAGAATGACCTATTAGCTTTGACTTACCAGTGTAAAATAAGTTGCCATTGTACTTGACTTACTACCTTTCTAATGTATGTATGGAATAGTCAGTGGAAATAACTCGGATAACTTAGCAGTAGTTTTGTAATCATTGAGTTACATTGAATTTTAAAGGATTATCAACTTAGAAATTTGATTACGGCATTTCTAGAAATGAGGTGAATCTGAATTAGAAATCATCTCTAGAGAGTGACACAGCAGGACATCTTCGTGTGCGTGGTCTTTGCATCCTACTAGGTGGCGGTATAGAATGAAATTAAAAATTAAATGAAGTCTCAGGTAGCCTTAGAAAACAAAAACTTGGCTGGATGCAGTGGCTCATTCCTGTAATCTGCAGTATTCAGTACAGCATGGTACTGTACTGAACACTGTAGGCAGTTGAAACACAGTAGTATTTGGCTAATCTTATGGGACTGTAATGCTTTAGGAGGCCAAGGTGGGAGGATTGCTTGAGCCCGGGAGTTCAAGACCGACCTGGGAAACATGGAGTGACTCCAGCTCTGCAAAATAGAAAAAAAATTAAAAAACAAAAAGAAAAAAAATGAAATGCACACTCTGACATATTGGGAGATAGGAAGATATGCTCACATATAGCATGATACTGATTTATCAAAGTGTATAAGTATTTTTAAAGCCAAGTTTTACTGGGGGAAAAGGTAATTTATTTAATGCCAAGAGTTCTCCCTTATATCTAATTGGATTGTACTAATAAGTTTTTTTTTTTTCCTGGTTGCATTAGAACATAATATCCAAATTTTAAAGGGCAGTTCTTTTAGGCATGCATTGTCTTGTCGCCCAATAGATAAAAAATTTTATGAGGGATCTTAAAAAGTAGAACATTTCTTCAAGTTGGTTTTTAAAAATGAGTTGTCTCCAGGAACAGAAAGTCAAACACCACATGTTCCCACTCACAGGCAGGTGTTGAACAGTGAGAACATGTGGACACAGGGAGGGGAGCATCACACACTGGGGTCTGTTGGGGGGGGGGACTAGGGGAGGGACAGCGAGGGGTAGGGAGGTTGGGGAGGGATTACATGGGGAGAAATGCCAGATATAGGTGATGGGGTGAGGGGGCGGGGGATGGAGGCAGCAAACCACATTGCCATGTACGTACCTATGCAACAATCCTGCATGATCTGCACATGTACCCCAGAACCAAAAATGCAAAAACTCTTGACTGCAATAAACAATCAATAGTTGTCTCTTCTAAAATTTCTCTCTGATTACTTTTAGGTTACCTAGGGTATGAATTAATACAGACTTGGAAACTCTGAAAGAACTTAGAATCAGCATTTTGAGGTAAATATGTACATGCTAAAGTAGTGTTAAGGTTGCCCCAGTTTGCTTTGTTGACTTTTTGGCAAAACAGATTTGTGTATGAAGTGAGAATTTTAACCTCCATGAGCATGTCATTTAAAGGACTGGCACTAGTAAAAAGAGACCACTGCTGATTTGTTTTTTCTGAGCTTATGATAATGAAAGCAATGCAGAAGGTTCAGACCTGAGCGCAAACCCAAGTCTGGTGTCAAATCTAGCAAAATCAGTATTTGTTTATCAAATTAAGCCTTCTGTATCTACATTTATGCTTTCTTAGTTTTTGATTCATAATCTCTTTTAGAGCCACCCCAGATTTAAATTTCTGCCTAACATTAACAGTTAACAGTATTCTTGAATTCTTTTATTCATATGTGAATTCTGTAAAAATTTGTAGTGTAGATGTAACTGTTCATTGAGTTTGTATTTTTGATTTTATTTTGGGAAATTAGAATTGCCAATGGATTTCATACTTTTATTAAAGACTTGCTACTGGGTTATTTGGATTTTGCAGCCAAGTACCTCATCTGGTGATCTTCTTTATTTCCTTTATATATGTGAATTTAGGAAATAACACCTAATTTGTTTCATTTTTCTATACAGTACTCTCTTTAGACTTTATTTACTTTGTTTGATTTCCTTTTTAGTACTGAAATCAGTTTTTGAACCTGGCTCTAGCTTTTTATTTCTCCCAGATCTCTGGGAATTAGACATGCTATTGTTGTAGCTTATGCTCGTGTTCTTTGTTTTAGGGTAAGCCTTGGTATCCTAAAATAATCTAAATGTCTTTTGTTTAAAATTTAATTCAAAATAATGGCCTTTTATTCAACTCTTCATATCAGTAGGGCTCTCTTATAGATGTGTTTCTGTTCAGTTAACAGGAATCTTAAACTTGGCTATTTTTGCATTTATTTTTAGAGCAGAAGCTTGGGCATGCTGTGATTTTCCAATAAACTGCTATCACAATGTCAAAATGCAGTTCAGACAACAGCAACACAGAGATCTCAAACATTAAAACGGTAAATCTGTGATTTATCATATGTGGAAAGAGGAAGAGAGTTTATTCGTGTCTTTCTTTTCTTTTGCTAAATTACAGTCATGCGTTGCTTAATGACTGGATATCTTCTGAGAAATGCATTGTGAGGCGATTTTGTCATTGTGTGAACATCATAGAGTGCACTTAATTCACATAAACCTACATGGTACAGCCTACTATACACCTAGGCTATGTGGTATGACCTGTTCTTAGGCTGCTAACTTGTACAACATGTTCCTATGTTGAATAGGCAGTTGTAACAGAGTGGTATTTGTATATCTAAACATACCTAAGCATAGAAAAGGTACAGTAAAAATACAGTATCATAATCTTGTGGGACCATAGTTCACTGAAACATCATTATTGATTCCTGACTGTATTTCTAAGTGCTTAATACATGGAAACTATGAAACAACCTCACCAGTTTCATGAGGGTATGTTGTTTGACCAGAAATTTAAAATCTAAAGCTGGGTGTAGTGGCTCACACCTGTAATCCCAGCACTTTGGGAGGCTGAGGTGGGCGGATCACGAGGTCAGGGGTTCGAGACCAGTCCAACCAACATGATGAAACCCCGTTTCTACTTAAAAGAAGTACAAAAAATTAGCTGCGCGTGGTGGTGTGCACCTGTAATCCCAGCTACTTGGGAGGCTAAGGCAGGAGAATTGCTTGAACCCAGGAGGCAGAAGTTGCGGTGAGCCAAGATTGCGCTACTGCACTCTAGCCTGGGTGACAGAACAAGACTTTGTCTCAAAAAAAGAAAACAAAAGAAATTTAAAATCTATAGTTGAAAAACCGTCATGTGGAGCTGTTTTGGCTCTGCCAAAGCAGTAAATGGCAGCCAGTTTATCTGTGAAACTAGAACCTTTGCTTGCCAGCAGGGATTCAGATCCTTCATTAAGGCCAAGTTTTAAAAATCTGTTTAAACATGCCAAGAAAGTAAAAATTGGCAAAATTATAGGTTTTCCTGTTTTCGTATTACAGATTACCTATTGAATTTTTAAGTCTTGAATTTGTTTTCCCTAAATAGAAAGTGCATTACTGGGGCCAGTCATTGTCCACTAAATGAATGAAAATTAATATAAACATTGTAATCTTATGGAAAATATAATTGGAAGGGTTAAATTGTTGCCCTTTATGTCCGTGTACATCCTCTTTCCTGTACTCATCTGTCCGAGCTTGTAGGAGTGGGATAGATGTGTGTTTCCAAATCAAATAGAAATATATCTTGATCCATTCATGATTCTGTTCTATGCATGATTGTGTGGACATTCATGAGTCACTAATTCAGTTTGCCAAATATTTAATTAAAAAAATATATATGGAACATTGTAGCAGGAAATTTAAGAGGTGCAAAGCGAGAGACTCATGTCTTGTTCTTACAGAGCTGTGCTCCAGTAAAAGAATAAAGTGTACGTTGTGTATATGTGTCTATGAATAGATGCAGAAATCTGTGATATAAATTATGAAAGGCAAATAGAAGCTGTTTGAGGCTTTAATGTCATGCAGGTGGACATTGTTTTCATTCTAACAACCTGCAGTTTTTTGTTTACCTTGTCCTGGGTGTGGTTCTGTACAGTGGGTAATAAAGGTAAGGGTAAGATATGCAGCTCCGCGATCCAAGGAAATTCTCCACGATCATATTTTAGTGAGAACAGAGATTTAAGAGAAATAAGAATTCTTCTAAAATTACAGTAGTACACTTTATGGATTAAGACTGTACCCCAAGCCTCTGTAATATAACTACTAGGATCACTTGGATTGAGCACACAGGATTGAAATACAGGATTAAACACTTGTAGTTGGTCGATCAGGGAGGATGCATAATATGCCATAGGCTTTCAGCCAACAGGGATTGTTCTTCCGTTGTGGAAATTACTGTTAAATGGTGGTGAGGCAGCAATAGGGATAGCATTCTAAGCTGGGTCAATAATCTGAACGTAAGCTTACAGGTGGGAGAAGTCAGGCACTCACGAGTAGGGGATAGTACTCTTCAGACTATATTTGGGACTAGATATTACAGAGAGATGTGCTTTGCTTAATTTCCTTTTTAAATATCAGCTGTTTAATGAATTCCCTTCCAATAGTTTGTATCATTTTCTTACGTGTGGTTTTTTTTGTGAAAGGTGCTAGAAACCTTATCTTTTCAGATATTTTCAGTTACAGATGTTATTTCTGTATTTCCTTATTGTTTGGTATTTCTTTTTACCATGTAACATATCTGTTTTCTCTTTATTTAGAGCCTAAATGTTGATAAATACATACCTTTTGTTTCTCTGGTGTTTTTATTCTCAAATTGATTCTTAGGAACCAGCTACCTAACATTTTTCTAAACCCTGTGAATGTTGTAGGGTGTGGTGGGACATTTATGAGAACGGTTGTGTTTATAAGAAAAAAAAAAAACCTGTCTTTTGAGATACCAGGAACAGAGCCCAGACATTGGGGAAATTTCCAATTCCTCCTTTTCCAAGCTCTTTACCTACTGGTTTGTAGGAATAGGATCGGCACATTTGAGTGAAGTTGGTGTCTTGAGGTGAAACTGAGCATGCAGAACAGTGGAGGCCTAGGGCTAATTTTCCAGATAGAATTGAGTCTTCGTTGGTCTTGGGCCAGCTTCCCTTCCCTGCCTGTTTTCTCCCTTGCGGTTTTATGAGAGGGAAGAAGGAAACAGGCAGGCCAGGGAAGCTCTCTGTGTCCCTCCCTCTCTTGTGCAGAGGGAGAACTGTCCAGATTTTTCATCAGTTTGTTTCGGAAACAAAACTTTGCAGTTTCAGAAAGAATTTACTAATAGCAGAAAGTAAAAAAATATTCATAAGGACAAATAAGGATAATTTTCAGTCTTAGAAGCTTCTTGGTAGATCTCATCCCTGGTTCCTTGGAGTGTAAAGACTCTTGACTTTTCTCCTACAAACAAAGCTTTTCAGCTTGGTTGGGATCTGGCTGCAGTATTTGTTCATTGTCTCAATATTTCTGACCTAATGACTTTCTGCTTTAGTCCCTGACCTTTTCTCTTTACCTTTCCTTTTCCCTTCCCATTTTCCTTTACCTTCCCTTCTCTGTTCCCTTCCCCTCCCCTTTCTCCTTTCCCTTTTCTTTCCCCTCCCCTTCCCCTTCCCCTCCCCTCCCCTCCCCTCCCCTTTCCCTTCCCCTTCCCCTCCCCTCCCCTCCCCTCCCCTTTCCCTTCCCTTCCCTTTCCTATTTCCCTTCTTCTTCTACTTTCCCTTTTCCTTCCCCTTCCCATTTCCCTTCTCCTTCCACTTTCCCTTTACTTCCCCTTCCCCCTTCCTTCCTGTTTCCCTTTCCCTTCTCCTTTCCCTTTTTCTTTCCCTTTCCCCTTTCCCTTCCTTTCCCTTTTTCCTTCTTTCCTTCTTCTCTCCCTTCTTTCCTTCTTTTCTTTCTGTTCATATTTGTTATTTGCTTTCCTCTTCTATTTTCTACCTAGACCTTCTACAGTAAGTGATTATAGTGATTTAGAGAGTGTCATTAGGTTTGCTTGTATCCCAGAGTATTCAACCCAAGCTAGCTTGGACAATAGAGGAATTTGTTGGCTCAGGTAATTGGAAAGTCCATTAGGCTGGGCTTTGAGGTGGGTTGATCCAGTGATTTATTGATGTCATCAAGGACCCAGGTTCTTTATTTTTACCGTCTGCGGTGCTAGTTTCATCCTAAGGCTGGGTGTTTTCATGGGTCTACATAGTATAGTTGCAGGAGCAACTACAATAATTTCATGAGTCATATTTAGAGGGAAAGAAAGTGAACTACTCCTCTACAGTCATCCAATGAAAGTCCTAAATTTTTTGCTGTTGGATGAGCATGAACCAATTCCTCTGGCCAAGGGTGAGTCATAGGCCCATCAGCTTAGGTTTGGGTGTCTGGCAGATAGCAGAAAATAAGAAACTAGAGCCTAGACAACATAGTTAGACCCTGTCTCTACAAAAAATTTAAAAATTAGCCAATTGTGGTGCTGCACACCTGTGGTCCCAGCTACTTGTGAGATTGAGGCTGCAATGAGCCATCGTTGTACTACCACACTTCAGCCTGGGTGATCAAGTGAGACTCAGTCTTGGGGGAAAAAAAGGAAAAGAAACTGGATCCTTGAAGACTTCAGTGAGCCACTGTTTGACTGAGACCAAGCAGAGTCGAGCATGGCTGTTACCTGTGGAAGAATTGGAGTGGGTATTTGAGAGCTAGCCAGAGTCGCCTGGCCTTGTTTTGAATACGTAAAGGATTGAAACATTTATTTATATTTGAGCAGAAAATGAAGAAAAATATTTATGTTGGCAAGAATAAGAATAGGACAAATATATGTGCTGTACCCTTTTTTCCCCACTTGCTTTATCAGCTCTGTATGTGTGTCTGTCGTGTGTGTGTGTGTGTGTGTGTGTGTGTTTATCTACATGTAGATTCTTTTTCTGTACCATTTGAGAATAAGTTGCATATATTATGGCTTTTTACCCCTAAATACTCCAATGTGTATTTCCTAACAATAAGGGTATTGTCTTACGTAACCACAGTCAGTTATATCACCTTTAGGAACTTTTAACCTTGCTGTTATCTTGTTTTAAAAATTGGCTTAATAATGTCCTTTATGAATGAGATAATTATTTATGTTCTTTGCAGCATTACTCATAATAGCCAAAATATTGAAGCGACCTACGTGTCCATCAACAGATGAATGGGTAAGGAATTGTGATACACAAATGCACATAGAGGAATAGTATTCAGCGCCAAAAAGAAGGAAATCCTGCCATTTGCAATAATGCAGATGAACCCAGAGGACCTAATAATAGGGATAATAGGCAGGCACAGAAAGCCACATACTGCCTGATGTCACATGTGAATTTAAAAAGTAGAAGTCTTACAAACAGAGTAAAAGAGAAGGGTAGAAGGGTGGGGGAAACGGGGAGTTGTTAGTGAAAGGGTACAGAGTTTCAGTTACGTGAAATAAGTAAGTTCCAGAGATCCAGCATACAGCACGGGGTCCATGGTGGATAACAGCGTATGGAATACTTTAATTTGCTGAGAGAGTAGATCTGAAGAGTTCTCACCACACCAAAAAATTGTAGCTATGAGAAGAGGTGGATATGTTAGTTAGCTTGATTATAATAGTTCACTGTATATATGTGTGTCAAAACATCACACTGTATACCTCCAATATTGCCCATTTTAATTTAAAAAAAAAAAAAGTCTTTTATGGCATTTTTCTCCTTCAGATAGGATCCAGTCTAAGTTCAGGTGTTACATGTAGTTGTCACGTGTCTTTATAGTCTCTGTTTCTTCTTTTAGAATCGGGGGTCCATGTGCTTGTTTGTTACACAGGTATATTGCATACCGGTGGGAATTGGACTTCTAAGTCCACCTGTTAACGCAAATAGTGAACGTAGCACCCAGTAGGTACTTTTTCAACCGTGTCCCACTTTATCACCTTCCTCCCTTTGGAGTTCCCGCTCTGTGTTACTTCCATCTTTATGTCCTTGTGTAGCCATATAGTCTTTGTTAATCTGGAACATTTTTATATTTTTCTTTGTATTTTATAGCATTGACATTTTTGAAGAGTATACTTTCCCCAGCTTTAAAAAAGTAAAACATTCTTAATTTACTTTTAGACTGTTTTTCTAGAGTTAGTGGCCTCTAGGATCTCAGAAATGTTGGTAAAATAGACTTCCACATGGGGTTCTTGGCAGTTTTATTAAGAAAAAAGTTTAACTGATGAACCTGCAAACTCTCAGGGCTTCCTGAATTCAGGAAAGTGCATACTAGGCTCTGGTACTAGGGTAAAAGGAATGGCTGTTGGGGCTTTGATGCAGCAGAGAATGAACAGACTTTCTCATGAAGAACATAGTTCTCTTTGATCCAGGGAAATTATGGCTTAATATTATCTCATAAAGTACTCTGTGTACTTTGCTTGTTCCTTCTGGAAAAGTGATGAGCGTGATTGTGCTGCCAGGTCCACAGATATGCTGTCTTGCTGAGGCTCTCAGCTCCTGCTTTGGGGTGCCCCTGCACTGCTTATTTGAGATAGTACTTTTTGGTAGCTGAATGTTGAATTCTTGTCAATGGAATTAATTTCTCAAATTAGAATTCAGTATTGTGCCTCTGTGTAAGAGACCCTATACTTGAGACGTCTTGTTGAGTTAGTTGCAGCAACTTAAGTCTTGTGTTGTACTTAACATGTCAGGAAATTCAAAAGTTTTGTTTGTTAAGTAACAAAGAGCTGAATTCTCTCTTCTAGTTTCATAGAGTAATAGCAATGAATATTCCAAAGCAGTGCAAGAGAGGGAATTCCCTTTTGAGGGGCGAGGAAGTCCTGCTGACAGTAAAGCCAGTGATAGACTTTCACACAGATACTTCAAACCCTGACCCTCTGTTTGAAGGTTAGAAATTTTAAGGATAGTTGTTATCATTTTACGTCATCAAATTTATCTGTGGGAAGAATTATATGAAATACAGAAAAGTGCTTAGATGTCATGAAAAATTTTCATTTCACAGAGTGATGTCATTTGTTTTAATTTATCTAGGATATACATAATTTTAAAGATACATATTTAAATATGTGCATTTATAATAGGTTGTCAATTGAGAAAAAGGCCTTCTGTGTTCATGGGCTCTTGATAAAGTGACGTAATTTTAGCAGGTGTCTAAATCTTTCCTGGTGCAGGCACAGTGCTAAGTACCTTCCATACGTTATCATTTTGTCAATAACAATGTCATAGAATATACAAAGAATGTTCAAAATATATTTATGTGTATATTTACATATTTTATATATGTGCATATATTTAACAAGGCATACTGTACCTATTTTCTTTTAAAGGTTTATTTTGGACATTGTTCTATGTCAAGAAGTATAGATATGTGTTATAATCTTAATGGATTCAAGTATTACATGATATAGTCATACCATAATTTATGTAGCTTATTTTTTACTAGATTTTAAAATTATTTCTTATTTTTAAGTAATAATGCAACAACGAATATTTATGTACATGTCTTTGTGCAGTTGCCTGATTCATTCTTTAAAACAAATTTCAGGTGTAGAGTCACTGGATAAGGTACAGAATGCTTGACTCCCAAAATGATCCTTTTAGATCAAGAAAAAGCTAAAACAATTATAGGAAGAGTTTTAAAGGCTCATAGGAATGATATTCTGATGTTTCTCTTGTTTCTGTGCTTTCTTTTGTTTTTAACCCTGCATGGTTGTGTAATGGTATTCTTTTTCCCTTTTGTAGTAAGCTGTGCTAGAACAAAAATGCAATGAAAGAAACACTGGATGAATGAAAAGCCCTGCTTTGCAGCCCCTCAGCATGGCAGGCCTGCAGCTCATGACCCCTGCTTCCTCACCAATGGGTCCTTTCTTTGGACTGCCATGGCAACAAGAAGCAATTCATGATAACATTTATACGCCAAGAAAATATCAGGTACTAATGTGAACACTAATACTGGAGCATTCTTCACTAAAATGGAATAAATTAGCATATAGTTGACACAACTTACATAAAACTCATTTACCCTTTCAAGCCTCCCACTTCTGATTAATTTTCTCATTCAAAATACTTTTATTCTTAATAGTCCTTTTCTTTTCTAACATCTGCTGGGTAATTGGATTTGATAGTTTTATTTGTTAAGTTCCTTTTTTTCTCCCTCTGAAAACCTCACTGTTCCTTTATATTCACTTGGATGTGTCTGTCCTAGTGAGCTGGGTAGGAACCTAGATTAGTTTGAGAATGTTCAGCCATGAACTGGCAGAACCATGATTACTCTAAGTTTAGTCATTCATGTTATTCTAGAGAAGTATTCTGTGTATACAAAAATAATGTTTAAAGAAAGGGTAAATGCCATTTCAACATGTATTTACACAATCCAGTTGTATATAGCAGGCATTTTATTCCTCTGAGTGTTGTTCCTGTATAAAGATGTAGACTGTGGGTTTGTTGTTGTTGTTGTCGTTGTAAATTTATTGGAGGAAGATTTTAGAAAATAGTGAAATTTCCTGATTTAAAATAAAATCCAATTTTATAAATTTTGTACTTTAGGTAAGAAGTGCATAAACTTTTTTTTCACCATGTTTCTAGGTTGAACTGCTGGAAGCAGCTCTGGATCATAATACCATCGTCTGTTTAAACACTGGCTCAGGGAAGACATTTATTGCAGTACTACTCACTAAAGAGCTGTCCTATCAGATCAGGGGAGACTTCAACAGACACGGAAAAAGGACGGTGTTCTTGGTCAACTCTGGTAATAAAAAATTATTTTTTCAACTTGTGCTAGGGAAATTGGATGGGATTTTATGTTTAAACAGATTTTCTCTGTGTTTCTGAAGTTAAATTATTGAAGAAAGTTTGACGGATAATGCACTCTTTGAATCTCTTCTGGCAGAAATTATTTTGTCCTATTTCTTTTTGGTGTTTCTCTTAAATGTTCTGGTTCTGTATTTCTTTGAATGGATTATGTTTAGAACATAAGTATTGGAACATGTGTACGTTAGGACATAATCTATTATAAGTTGTTACATTTATTTTTGTTCTTGATGTTTTAGCTTCACCAAGTATGTGAAAAGGTACTTAATTATAGATAGGTAACTTTTTTACTTATGCTTTTGCTATATCAGTTGTATTAATAGAAAGAAAGTTACATGCTGCTTAGAAATTATTCAGTTAAGAGTTTAAAATACTGATTTTTATATGCTTGGATTATATGTAAAAATAAAAAATATAAAATAGGAACCCAAGCTTGCAGGCCTCTAATATATTCATGTCGCTGCCCTCTTTTTTTAGATTGTCTCAGTATAACTATGTGCTTTAAACACGTGTTAGACTGTCTCGTTTCCATCTGATTTTATTGAAGAAAACAAGAGGGTGGCTTAGAGGAAATCAGCTGTGAAGAAGAAAGGTGGTGTAGGGTTCTCTGAAGCGAGTGACAAAAAGTGAGGTGGCAAGTCTAGTAGGTGCCATTTTTTGGAGGATAACCTTGGAACTGTGGTTTTAAAGAGGCTATCAGAAGCGTTGTTGGTCTAATAATGATGATTTCTGTAGACTGTTAATTTTAGTAGTCCAGAGAGCCAACTAGGCAAGATTGCTCATATTTACATGGAGTATTATATTTGTAATCAGCAAACCAGGTTGCTCAACAAGTGTCAGCTGTCAGAACTCATTCAGATCTCAAGGTTGGGGAATACTCAAACCTAGAAGTAAATGGATCTTGGACAAAAGAGAGATGGAACCAAGAGTTTACTAAGCACCAGGTAAGACTTGTAGAGAAATTTCACTTTATAAATCCCTACAAGTCCTTGACTTGGTTTGTAAGATAATCTTTATTCTTGGTTGTCTGATTTGGGTTTGAAAACTAATTTCCTGTACTTAATCAGCCTAGAAACTAGTCCTGATGTACTCTCTCTTACTGTAAGTCTTATCTTAGAACTAAAGAAAGGCCAGGTACAGTGGCTCATGGCAGTAATCCCAGAACTTTGGGAGGCTAAGGCGGGTGGATCACCTGAGGTCAGGAGTTCAAGACTAGCCTGACCAGTATGGTGAAACCGTGTCTCTACTAAAAATACAAAAATTAGCCGGGTGTGGTGGCATGCACCTGTAGTCCCAGCTACTCAGGAGGCTGAGACAGGAGAATTGCTTGAACCTGGGAGGTGGAGGTTGCAGTGAGCCAAACTTGTTGCCACTGCACTCCAGCCTGAGCTACAGCGAGACTCTGTCTCAAAAAAATAAGCAAATAAATAAATAAAATTACTGATTTTTGTTGCTCTTAACTTTGTAGAAAAGAAATAGCTTTCAGTATGATCTGCTTGCTTGAAAAACAGATTCCTATGACGTATTTCCAACTTGCTGATAATATGCTTTCAAAAAATTTACTCTTGAGTTAAATGTCTTGGAAACTAGAGAAATTTCTTGCTTGAGGCGTTTAGGCCTTTGACAGAGACTTCCTCTAACTGAATGTTTCCGAGTAGCCAGCATGTGTTGGAGGCTTCTCTAACTGAATGTTTCCATGTAGCCAGCATGTGCTGGGGGCTTTGGTGTGTTGGTCGTTGGGGGATACACAGTGGTTAAGAGATGCTGGCCGGGCGCGGTGGCTCAAGCCTGTAATCCCAGCACTTTGGGAGGCCGAGGCGGGTGGATCACGAGGTCAAGAGATCGAGACCATCCTGGTCTCGCGCCATTGCACTCCAGCCTGGGTAACATGAGTGAAACTCCGCCTCAAGAAAAAAAAAAAAAAAAAAAAGAGATGCTTTTTCACTGACCTGAAACAGCCCAGCTTACTAGTGTGCTACAAATACTGAGTTAAGTCCTCGTTAATAAAGCACTGAAAAAGCCACATAATGATACGCTACAAAGATAACATTTAGTCCAAGTTTTCTTCCAGAAAACCATGTCAGTTCAAGAGACAAAAATAAAGATAATGTGACTTGTTTTGTGAATTGCCTAAATTGACAGATCTCATCAGTCATAATATGGCTTTGGGGAAACTAAGAACCTGGAGTAAATTTAGATTTGTCATAAAAACATGCTCTCCATTATCAAGATTTTTTTTCTCATCATCTTTTCCCATGTTTTCCTGATTTCCTACTTGGTTCTAATGTATGAAATTATATATATTTAGTATTTTAGTTTTAATTTTAACTAATGAATTTATTAATCTTCACCTAAGATACAATAACTCTGATCTGATTTTATGTAAGTATATCCAGGCAGGGAATGATATGTTTGTATACTGATGTTAATTTTATTTTAGGTTCTCATTATGACTTGCTATGTCGCCTTGAATGTTTTGAAAAATGGTTACTTATCACTGTCAGACATTAACCTTTTGGTGTTTGATGAGTGTCATCTTGCAATCCTAGATCATCCCTATCGAGAAATTATGAAGGTAAGTTTTACATCTAAGTCTTAGTAATTGTTGGTAAACTATTTAGTATATGCAGATTTGTTTTTTAGATTTCAAAAACAATAATATTAGATATCAATATTGGGAGTTTGGCTCCACTGTATGAATGAATAAATATCAAATTAGTATTCATTTAAATCTGTAAACTTTTAAACATAATAAAAATAAATTTTATATAATTTTCATAGTGTATCTACTTGTGCTTTTTTGAAAAACAGATCTTTTAAACAAACTACAGTAATTCTTTGAGTAATTTTATGTTGTTCTTGGTGTAGTGGCATTTCCACCAAACAAATTATTTTTTAGTATTTGTTAGTGATTTTGATGTTTTACTATGGCAATGTCTCTCTTGTTATGGCCTTGCAAAATGAAGTCTTTACTGTCAGTATCTTTTATTATGTTAGCTCTGTGAAAATTGTCCATCATGTCCTCGCATTTTGGGACTAACTGCTTCCATTTTAAATGGGAAATGTGATCCAGAGGAATTGGAAGAAAAGATTCAGAAACTAGAGAAAATTCTTAAGAGTAATGCTGAAACTGCAACTGACCTGGTGGTCTTAGACAGGTATGCACTTCTGATTGACTTGGCTTTAACGAGATTAGTTGAAAACAACATTAAGTCTTTGGTGTTTTTTGTAGTACCTCGCAGATAGTACCTAGTTAAGTGAACAAATGGCAGTAAAAAGGAATGGGCCAGGATAAGAATTCTCTGTAAGTACAGTTACCTGTGAGTTCAAGAATCTAACCTTGTTTCCACAGAGAGTAGCAGACAGGCATTTTGCCTTAAGCGATTACGGCAATGTTTCTCTGCATTTCCTGCTTGCTAATGTTGCCAAGGACTGGGAACTTTGACAGTAAATTTGTGTTCTTTTTTGTCAATATGTGTGCTTTGTTTTTCAGACCTAAATGTCTTACATGCTGCTTTCAAAGTGCATTAATTTATTTACAGAATCCAGGAATATACTTTAAAACATTTGGAAATACCCTGTTGTTTTGAAAATGGGTTGTGGATTTCTGAGAAAGTTGCTATTTGTGGTTTCTAGGTTTGACTCTTTTTGAGGGGATTACTATTTTGAGTTTCATTGAAAAGCATGCGCTCACACACACGCACACAACCTTAATAACTTGTTTAAGTTGGTGGAAGGGAGGATTTACAAGTTAGGAAAATGGCTTTTCAAATGTAATGAATTTGATTCATGTCAAAATATTCTTCTGTTCTTACTAGATACAGTCTTAAATACAGCTAAAGATTACCTAGTGGTGGTTCTTAGGACAGTTATAATAAATAGAGAAGACTGATTTCTCAGGTTGTGGAGTTGAGTCAGACGTGGATTTGAATATAGCTCCGCTGATTGTAAGCTGTGTGACGTTGAGTGAATCACTTATTTCCTTGCACATGTAAAAGGACATTGACAGTGGTTTCATGGGATTCTTTGATGATCAGTAGACATAGAGAAAAATCTTGCAATGTGCCTCACGTTTAGTACGAATTTGAGGAAAGCTTTCTTTGGAGTGTGAGAAGAAAAGGTAACATTTGGGATTAATCAAACTTAGGTATCCAAATGCCATATGAAATACAAATCTTGTGACCTCTAGAACATGCTGTGTCTGACTTCGTGAGCCAACACTGATAAGGCTGTGCTTGTGCTTTTGTCTGACCTGAGTTAGAGTGCTTCGCTTGTATTGCCTGAAGTTTTGTTGATAAGTAGAAGTAATAGAGCATTTAAGTAAAACTATGAGCAATCTTTTGATTAAGCATTACCTAATTCTCCAAATAATAACTCTTTGGTTCAATATAAATACTGTTTTAGGCTCAGAAAAGTAAGAACTATGTATGTCTTTGCTAGATTTATTTTTCTTTTTAAAATTATTATAAGTACTTTTAGGATATTATGTACCATTCTGGTTGTCATTTTTATGAAAGCCATAAAAGACCCAAGGAATGATATTAGAAATGAATGAAAGTGGGGGAGTTTTCCTTATGAGGATTTAAAAATACATTAAAAATAAAAGCAATAGTTACAAATACTAAAAATTTCACGCAGATATGGAAATGGATAAATTTAATGATAAAACTCCCCCACCATGATCTATCTTCCCATTCTTATTTCTGCTTCTGAGAAATGGTTGAGTTTCATGAGTATTTTGAACATCCTTGCTCCTCATTCTGGCAAATGCCTAAGGGGGCAAAAGATGGAAGGCTAAGCCTAAAAAACAAAAGAAAACTGTAATAATAATGAAATCTATTGGCAAAATTATTTGAGTATCAGCCTCATGTGGTCATTCCTTGAGACCTAACAGGTGAACAGTACAGATTGAGCATCTCTAATCTGAAAATGTGAAATCTGAAATGCTCCAGAATCTGAAACCTTTTGAGTGCTGGCATGATGCCACAAGCGGAACATTCATATCTGGCCTCATGATGAATTGAAGTCAAAATGCCATCAAAACTTGTTTCATGCACAAAATTATTTTAAAATATTATATAAAATTACCTTCAGGCTATGTGTAAGGTAAATATGAAACATAAATGAATTTCATGTTTAGACCTCAGTCCCACCCTCAAGTTAACTCATTATTTATATGCAAATACTCGAAAATCTGAAAAAAATTGGAAATCCAAAACAGTTCAGGTCCCAAGCATTTCAAATAAGAGTACTCAACCTGTGCAGATAAACGTGAGTACTGCTTCAGGAAGACATGTTGTAAGCCTGCCCTTTATACTGATTAGATATACAAACTGAAACTAGGAAGACTCTTTTTGGAGATATATAAATGGATCATAACAGTGAGTTTTTAAAAATGAAACAAAAAGTGTTTGGGGAGGCAGCAGGGTCTGGCTGAAAGAGCCCTCAGAAGAAGGCAGTTCTGAGTTTTGTTTAGACAGAATCATGTAATATCTTTAAACCTTCATTTCCTTCATCCTCCTCCTTGTGTGTGGATTAAGTTAAAAGATATGTAAATTCCCAGCATAATGCTTGGGGATGCAGTGGATGCTCATTTGTATTCTTTTCTTTCCCCCCTTCTCCCTTTGCCATTTGAAAACATCTTTTAAACAATAGTTTACTGGTTTATAAAATACATTATTTACTATGGAGAAGTATGGTAATACAGAAAAATTATAATTAAATACCTAAAATCTCACTGCACTGCTAAATTCTGGCATTTTTATTTTTAGTATCTCTTCTCTTTTTTTCACTTTTTGAAAAACCTTTTTTAAGTTGCATTCTCACTACTGCAATATTGATACCTTTTGTTTCTTATGTTAAAGGTATACTTCTCAGCCATGTGAGATTGTGGTAGATTGTGGACCATTTACTGACAGAAGTGGGCTTTATGAAAGACTGCTCATGGAATTAGAAGAAGCACTTAATTTTATCAATGACTGTAATATATCTGTTCATTCAAAAGAAAGAGATTCTACTTTAATTTCAAAACAGGTAAGCATCTACAAAGTACGTATAGTGATTATATTTTGAAAGTTCTGTTTATTTTTAATATTGAAATGAAAATATGCTTCTAATGAGGCTCTTTACTCTACATTTTAGTTTAAGGTTTTATCTCTTTATCTCCTTAGACATTTTTCATTCAACATACCATATTAGGTTGAGTTCACTGTTACCTGATGCACATTTATATTATTAAGTGTAGACTTCCCCTATTTAAGGAGGTGACTTAGGATTCGTGTCATGGTTATGCAAGTATAAGGAGTAAGTCCAATTTTTTGTTTTATGTTCAGATGAGTTAGTTTCTGCTCAAACCCTTGAACTAAATGAATTCTTCCACAGTTTCCTAGTGTGAGGAACTGGATATGAGCCTATTGTCCCTGAGTAGTACTACTTTGAGAAGAGATCCCTTAGGACAGTGATCCTTCCAGAGTAGGCCCTGGAAGGCCCACTTCCAGGGCAGCAGCATCTGGGTGGGGTCCTCAGAACTGAATTTTATGGTTTGCAGAGTCTTCAGTTTTGAATTTCAAAAGGCCCTCCAGTGATCTGATTCTTCAAAGCTTGAGAACCACTGCCCTAGAACTTTACAACCATTTGTGAATGTTAACACTGTATTAAGTGTGGGTCTTAGTTTTTCTCTTGATGATTTTTTTCTGGAGCAGCAGTGCCCACATTTTTCTCAACCTTTGAAGTCTTTCTTCCTTTCTGTTTCCCTTTCCTTTCCTTTTTTTCTTTTCTTTCTTCTTTTTTTCCTTTTTTCCCTCTTTCTCTCACAATTCCTCAGTTACAGCCTGGCCATGGATTAACTTTCAGTTCTTAATTAGAGTTGTAAGATGCAGCACTCTGGGAGGGTCCAGGATCAGAGTCTGGATTTAGCTGAGGTGTTAACATTGAGGAGCCCTGACCTTGTGGTGGTGTTTTCATTGAATTCAGATAGCAGGGACTTTTGGAGAACTGTGCCGGAGTATGTGGATGCTGCCCCAGTGCAGCTGTCCTATCTCCTCTACCACTTAGAAAGAAAAAAGAAATGATAATAGAGACAGCTGTGTGGTGTTTTTACAACAATCTAACCAAGGCATCCACAAGCGCTGACTGTAGATCCACCAAAATTGATCCACAGCTCCTAGTCAGTGGAAAACATAATACCAGGGGATATCGTACATAGATAAAGTTCAAAGAAAATTATATTGCTCTTCCTTGATGTCTGAAGTTAAACTATTATGCTGCATAAATTTTTATGTAATTTGGCAGAAAGTAAATGACTCAGGTATAGTAACTAATCAGATCTAAAAATAAGATTTATTAACCTCATACAATTGCATCTCTTAATTTCCATTTGATTATTTTATTGAAAAGAGATGGTTCACATACATGAAATAAACATGAAGACTAATGGCCTCTCCCCCCATCTTTAGGGAGTTAACCTAAGGTTGGGTTACCTTTAAGAAGCCATTTGAGGACAACTGAAATCCCAGTTAAACCCCATATGAGAATGGTATATTATTATTGTTTAGCATTAGGTTTTTTCTTTTCTTTGTAGATACTATCAGACTGTCGTGCAGTATTGGTAGTTCTGGGACCCTGGTGTGCAGATAAAGTAGCTGGAATGATGGTAAGAGAACTACAGAAATACATCAAACATGAGCAAGAGGAGCTGCACAGGAAATTTTTATTGTTTACAGACACTTTCCTAAGGAAAATACATGCACTATGTGAAGAGCACTTCTCACCTGCCTCACTTGACCTGAAATTTGTAACTCCTAAAGTCATAAAACTGCTCGAAATCTTACGTAAATATAAACCATATGAGCGACAGCAGTTTGAAAGCGTTGAGTGGTATAATAATAGGAATCAGGATAATTATGTGTCATGGAGTGATTCTGAGGATGATGATGAGGATGAAGAAATTGAAGAAAAAGAGAAGCCAGAAACAAATTTCCCTTCTCCATTTACCAACATTTTATGCGGAATTATTTTTGTGGAAAGAAGATACACAGCAGTTGTCTTAAACAGGTAAATCTCTAAGTTGACCCATTTCACATGAGAACAAGGAGGCGTCCTGTGATGTGATTGATGTGCTGCAGCAGCTGTAAGAGCCAGCCTGATGGTTGTGTAAGTGTCCTTGACTTGGCGCCATCATCTCAGGTACAGTCATACTGTCCTGGGATTGACAGAGAGGATGTTTTCCCAGAAGGCTGCTTTTCACATGGCTGAGATTTTTTTTTTTTCTTAAAGGATGGTAATCCATTCTAATCTATCTAAAATATAGGACAAGTATGGTGTTTAAAAAAATAAGTATACCTTTAAGTTAAGTATTGTTTTGTATTCAATTTTAGATTCAATTCATATATTTATTCTTAACTATGTGTTAGACATGTGTTGAGCATTTCACACCAAGCATTCCCCTTCGGATAGTCTTAGGATAAATTTTATCTGGGTATTGTGGCCAATTTTTTTTATGTTGATTTTTTTCTCTTAAAAATACTGATTCAACTTTTCAAGGTGAGGCTGGGCGCAGTGGGTTGTGCCTGCAATCTCAGCACTTTGGGAGGCTGAGGCAGGCAGATTGTTTGAGCTCACAATCTTGTCTCAAACACAAAATTGCTTGAGACGACAAAACCCCGTCTCTAGAAAAAATAAAAAAAATTAGCCACTGATGGCATACGCCTATAGTCCCAGCTACTTGGGAGGCTGTGGTGGGAGGATGGCTTGAGCCTGGAAGCCAGAGGTTGCAGTGAGCTGAGATGGCACCACTGCACTCCAGCCTGGGCAATAGAGCCAGACCTTGTCTCAAAAATAAAAGTTTTCAAGGCCACAGTGGAAAAAGTTTAGAACAATTGAATGTACAATTTTGGGTTGGTTGATAGACTGCATATTAAAATTTTCTGAATCAGAAGAGAATGAGAATGTTAGGGAAAGTTCTGAGACTGTTAGCAAAGGTGATAATTAATCCAAATTTTAGGCCGTGGATTCCAGCTCTTTCTTTCTTCTTCAATGAAAGACTTTTCTAATATAGAACCAGCCAGGGAGCTACACTTCAAATTTCTGTCAGACGGTCACTTAATGTATTGTCCTTTAGGTTTGTGGATAAATACTCTTATTATTTTGTGCCCAAAAAAGTCCTTATTTTGTACTTAAGCCAATCTACTTTTCTATGAGATCCATTAATTGCCCACAGTTTATCCTTAACTTTTCTGCAAGTAGTGATCTCTTAGGAAGAACTAAGCTTTGTTTCCTAAGGTGATTTGGCAGAGAGAGAGAGAGAGAGAGAGAGAGAGAGAGAGAGAGAGAGAGAGAGAGAGTGTGTGTGTGTGTGTGTGTGTGTGTGTGTGTGTTCGTTCGCTTGCTTAACTGCTTCTGAATGTTTGGGGTTTTAAAAACTTTTTTGAGTAACGAGAAATTGGACTCGAGGGTAGTCATCTGGCAGTTTTTAGTCTGGTAATTTTCATAGTCATTGAGCCTGATCCTTCTGATGAATACAAAGGAAAATAACTTTAGACCAAATTACACTTAAATCAGAAGTTGAAGGTTAGAAGGGGACCTCACTATCTAAATCCAACCCACTTATTTTTGTAAAAATGAGAAAGTGCCTCAGGAGAGAGAGTGATTTGCTGTAAGTTAAATTGCTAGTCAGCGGCAGAGACAGTTCTAGAATCCTAATATCCTGACTCCTAGTTTCCAGTTCTTTCTACCATCATAATGCCCCTGGGCATCACAGAACACTAAAAACCAGTGCTTTACAGTGGGAAGATTGCCAGGAGACAGACCTGGGAGAGCGTGACTGAGGAGGGATTTTTTCTTAGAGCAGGGAAAAAGCATTTTGGAAGTCAGAAAAGTTTAACACTGGCGCAGTTCTAAGCCTGGTTGTGGACATACTCCCTATCTCCATTTAGAATGGTATAAGGATTAAATAAATTTTCTGGGGCTTGGAGAGAAGAAATGGGAATGTATTTTCCACCTTTCCCCTGTTTTCTGCATGTATTTTTATGTTGAGATGTACCAGTTTTTATTGTAGGAATATTAGCCTGAAAAGGTTTATCCAAAATCAGTCAATTACTTCCTATTGACTTTAAGGATCAGATTAATTGTGATCAACTTTCATAAAATGTGACTGGAATTTAGTGCTGTATGATGAATCAAGAGTGGTCTGAGGGTTGACTTTATGAGCAGCTAATTAAATATACAATAGAGGTCTTGTTCCAGTAAGCTTTTTAATAAGCTTAGAAAAACTTCCTGAAATCCAAATTCTTTCCTTCCATCAGTTTAATGGGAGGAAAAACTCTCCTTTAGTGAACAGTTTCATGGGCATATAAGCTATTGTTAATGCATATGCAGTTTTCTGCTCTCCTAATTAAAAAAATAAATCATAGCCACTTCTACATGTAGTGTAGGTATGTGCACAGTCTTACATTTGTGGGTTTCTTTGTACCTTATATAGGAGTTTATAAGTTACTTTTATATATATTTAAGATGTATTCACAACATTCCATGGGGGAGGAAAGTAGATGTTCTTATATTATAGATGAAGAAAACAAGCATCAGTGTGTGACCTTCCCCAAATTACAAACTTCAAGTGGCAGAAAGTGGCTTCTAGTGTCAAGTCTAGTGTTCTTTTCACCATGTAATATACTAATATTGTGTGATACTGGCATTGGACAAACCTGGGTTCACATCCTGTCTGTACCTCCCCCCCCTTTTTTTCCTAAAACCTTTTTATTTTGGAAGAATTTTAGATTTCCAGAAAAGTCAGAAAAATGGTACAGTGAGTTCTCATATGCGCCTCACTTAGTTTCCCCATTGATGATATCGCAGGTCACTGTTTGTCACAACTAAGAAAACTAACATTGGTCCATTACTATTAACTCCAGACTTTATTTGGATTTTGACAATTTTTTTTACTACTGTCCTCTTTTGTAAAAATTTATTTTTATTTTTTTTCTAACCATTAGACAGTATGGGCTAATGTCCTTTTTTAAATCCAAGGTATCATATCACATTTAGTTGTCAGTGTCTACCCAGTTTCCTCTGTCTGTCACAGTTTTCACAGTTTCTGTCTTTTCTTGTTTTTTGATGACCTTGACAGTCTTTAGGAGTACTGGTCAGGTATTTGGTGAATGTCCTTCCATTTGGGTTTTTCTTATGTTCTCCAGGCTGGTCTGGGGTTATAGGATATGGAAAAATACCATGGAGGTGACTTGCCCTTCTAGTCACATTATATCAGCAGGCTCTCATGGTATTAACCATGAGACCTCTCTAGTGATGTCAAACTTCATCAATTGATTGTGATAGTGTTTGCCTGCTTTCTCTACTGTAAAGATACACTTTTTCCCTTTTCTTACTCTATTTGGAAGGGAGTCTCTAAGTCTAGCTCACCCTGGTAGGAAGGGATTCATCTCCACTTGCTTAGAGAGGAGTATATCTATATGTATTTGGAATTCTTCTGTAAGGAAAACTTATCTAGTTTATCCTATTTATTTGCCCATAGACTTATATTTATTAATTGAATCATGTATTTCAATTGATTGTTTTATGTTTATTTTATAATTTGGGCTATAATCTAATAATGTTATTTATTTGCTGCTCAGATTGTTCCAACTGTGGCCACTAGGAGCTCTTTGAGGTTAGCGCCTGTGTCCCTTTTGACATACCCCCATCCTTTTGTTTTTGAGCACTTTCCTACTTTGTGGTACCAAGGGGTGCTCTGGGCTCTTCTGTTTCTCCCTGCCTGGCCTTAAAATCAGCCCTTTTGCCAGGGAGCCTTGGTTTCTTTTTTACCCACTTTTTGGATGTATATTTTGTGAAAGTTATTTAACTTTTAAAAGTCTCAGTATCTTTATCTGTAAAATGGCAATAATACCTGCCTCGCTTACTGGTTTGTTTGTAAGAAACTTTGTATTTAAAATGGCTGTTTTATCACCTGGTACACAGTAGATGCTAATTCTTCAGCCATTTATACACGCATCTAGGGGGTGCAATATCAGTATGCTCTTATGTACCTGTCAGTGATCTTTTTTTCAGTGAGATCACAGAGGAATTATATTTGGTTTTTTTCACATTGACAAGAAAGTATAAGGAAGGAATATGGGATACTATTAAAGGAATTATTGATAATGTATTTCAAGAACCTGGCAGAAATTTCAAATGGTGTGTTGATATCTTTGAATTTCTTTTCCTCCTATGGTTGTTTGCATTAGTTAGCATGTTTATTCAGATCACAATTTTCTATAATACACCTGTCTACTAGTTTTCTGAACCTACCTATTTCCTATTTTTGGTTATGTTATTTTTAGCCTAATTGGGGAGGCAATGTATATATACACAAAGCATGGGCTTTGAACTGGTGCCAGACTTTACCTCTGTTATAAGTTAAAAGTACAGATATTGAAAGTACGCATTTAGAAACTCTTAGTGCGGTTTGACAGTAATTTTATGTCTGCTGAATACAATAAAATTGGTGCTTGAATTTTAATGCTTTTTAAGTTTCATTTTCTTAGTTGTTCGCTTTTATGAAATTCTACAAAACTATTGGTCTCTGATGGATTGGAAATTTAAAAAGAAAACCTGGTTCTTCGCTACAGATAGTTTCAGAAATACTGTGCATTAGGGAACAGTATACTTTATCAGACAGCTTGCTGGTGAACAACAGCCTGTAAAAACCAAAAGAAACAAATAATACTTTGTCTTATTTTTTTCTGTGGTAGTATGAAATCTTTAAGCAGTTTGCATTGTCTGTCCACTGTCCTCTGGGAATTGACATGTGACTACTGGCTTTGTTTTCCCTGAAGCCTGTAGCTTCGTCATGGGTACTGGTTAGGCATTACTGAGATTCGCCAATTAGAGACATACATTTTTCTCTCTAAGCATTATTAGCATAGGTATATCCCATGTAATTATTGGCTACAAGAAACTTTATTTCTTGTGCATGTTGTCTCTTTAGTTCTCTGTGGTTTTGATTTGGATTTCATTAAGGAAAAATGAATTGACTGTTGGTGCTTTTATTTCTTAGCTAATTGAAGTCTGCCTTGAAATACATTCTAAATCTCCATTATATTCAAATTGATGCTTATTTATATAAAATTTGGAAGTACATATTCTAAGGTGATTTATTTTGTATTTAGGCTTTTGAGCATATTATTTGTTTGTATGTAACACTGCTTTCTGCTACATCATGAGTTTGTTAAAATAATTAAACACACCTTGGAACATAATAAGAGAACCTCTGATTGTGAATATTTAAGTACTTGAACTGTAGAACCGTAGAGCTAGAGCTACAAACTGTGGTTTGTAGACTCCCAAACTAACCTAGACATGCAGGTGTTCTGCTGATTGGGAGCAAGAGAGATTCTAGATGGCCACTTAAGTTTGCTTCCAGCTCTTTAATATTAGTCTGTTTCATGTACTACTTTTTTTGTTTTTAAAAGAACGATTTGACTTAAAAATGCAATTTTCTATTTGGAATTTATACTATGTAGTATGACTTCAGAGAAACCATGTGGAATCACTTATATCAGGTGTGGAACCATTTATCCCGTGTGCTGAGTTTTTGAATGTGGATATTTCCAAAATAGCTGTAATGGCAGCACTAACTGTTAACCTTCTGCACCCATGTAATGTGATCCTGTCCTGTAGCTCTGCCATTTCTTCGCTAGAAGGCCAGCTTTCAGTTACAGGCATTCTGGGATAATACAGAGGAGCAGGTAGGAAGAGAGAGCTCAGGAATCTCCTCTTTCGTGACAGGGTGGGTGGGGGACGCCTTGCCATTTCTGTGCCCCGTCCTATGCTATGCAGAACTTTGGTCAGTGGCCTGGGGACCAGAAAGCATCAGGAATTGAGAGGACACATTTCTTTCCCACGGGCTGTGCTTCTAATGATATCAGGTGGTAGGATAAGAGGAAAAGAAATTGCAGCTGGAACTCTTCTGTTACATTTGTGGGGGTGAAGGTTTCCTTTGGTGTTGGGTTCACTGGTCCTGTCTGTGTAAGCACGGCAGGGCCTGCTGTGTAAATGTATGGCCAGGCCTGCTGCCGAAGCTGTGCATGGTCGCGAGAAGGGTGTTGAGTTGGGAGATGAGTGAGTGGAACTGGTAGAGTGATAAGTTGAGCTTTTCTCACTGGATATCCTGTCCTGACGCCAAGATCTATGAGGATCCATGTTTCCCTCTGACTCGTTCAGTCTCACCCATACTTCTATTCAGTCATCCTCACCAAATCAGCAGTTGGATGTAATGTGACCATTTCATTTGTCAGTACAAACCAATCTTGTATTTGGCGTTGTAAGTACTTGGTCCATAGAGCTATGTGGTAAGGAGTGACAGTGATTTCTCTTTGAGCAAGTTGGGAAAAAAGGACCAAGACTGTTTTGTTAGATATGCTGGCAAAAAATGCATGTACTTCCATTTTTAAAGGAGGCTTTAAAAACAGGTTTATTTTCTGTCAGCAACATTTAACTTCCAAATTTGTATACTTTTTTTAGATTGATAAAGGAAGCTGGCAAACAAGATCCAGAGCTGGCTTATATCAGCAGCAATTTTATAACTGGACATGGCATTGGGAAGAATCAGCCTCGCAACAAGCAGATGGAAGCAGAATTCAGAAAACAGGAAGAGGTAACTTAAAATAAGTGTACAGTAACAATTTTCAGGACATATACAAAGTGCCCATAGGGGCTCCCTTTTATCATAGTTCCCCAGAATGGGTTTTTTTTTAATTGTATTCTAGACTACTTGCTCGGATATTAGACCAGCTATCCCCATGAGGTAGCTGTATAGTGATTTACATGCTCAGAATTAGAATAACTATCTGGAAAACCAATTTTCTGTCTTAATTGCTATCAACCAACTTCTTTTCTGTGATTGGATTGATGTCACACAACTGCATTTCGTGGAAAGACAAAACACGTATGTAACTATAACTCTTACACATTCTGTATGACTATGAATTAACAAACTGAAATCTTTTCCTAGAAAGTGTTTTCTTTTTTTCATTTAAAGAGTTACCTTGTTTGAATACTTAAAAAAAAAAATAGCACTGTATTTTGTAGATTTAGCTTAATTTTTTTTGTGTGCTTTTTAAGATCTTAATACAGGAAACAACGTTGTAAAGATGCTAAAACCTAACACCATTTGTGTATTCTGGCGTATACACAAAAACCTATTTAAAGTTTATTATTTAACTTAATTTTAACAGAATAATTCCCATTGAAGGCCCTTACATTGTAGCTTTTTGATAATACCCAAATTTGGAGAGTCCAGGAGCCAGTCTGATAGATCTGTCTGAAAACTAGCTTATGTTACCATTTAATTTATCCTGAATTGGAGAGTGTCATTAAATCAATTTCTTTGTCCATGCATCCTGAGTTTTCTGTGATACTGTCATCTTCTTTAGCCTGGCCTTAAGGGTTTAGAATGCCCAGAGTATGTATGTCAGAAATGACAGTTGTCATTTACTTTTACTATATTTTTTTTTGTGTGTGTGTGTGGAAATTTTCTTAGAAGTGCTTTTCTTGGTGGATTTTTTTCAGGTACTTAGGAAATTTCGAGCACATGAAACCAACCTGCTTATTGCAACAAGTATTGTAGAAGAGGGTGTTGATATACCAAAATGCAACTTGGTGGTTCGTTTTGATTTGCCCACAGAATATCGATCCTATGTTCAGTCTAAAGGAAGAGCAAGGGCACCCATCTCTAATTATATAATGTTAGCAGATACAGACAAAATAAAAAGTTTTGAAGAAGACCTTAAAACCTACAAAGCTATCGAAAAGGTAAGATCAACAAATTAATATGTGCTGGCAGATTGGGAACAAAAATTAATATGGTTTCTTTGTTATTCTTTGTATGCATAGAAACAGATGAGTCTTATCTATAGGCAATAATTTCAAAAAAGGTGCACCCTATGTACATAGTAAGGAAGTTGAGACTGATTACAAAGACCCAACAGTGTTGTACAAAGGGTTTGAAAGGGCATGATAAGATAACAGTGAAAATGAATACTATATACATTATTGGGGTTGGATGTCTGGGAAATTGCATTGTAAATACGGACAGTAATTGTTGACTGCTTGAGTTACTGAGTGATTGGAAAGTGATGACATAGTAGTTACATTCAGAAAGATAGTCGTGTGTGTGTGTGTGTGTGTGTGTGCGCGCGCGCGCACGTGTGTGTGTGTGCGTGTGTGTGTGTGCGTGCACAGTACAGTATAGACTTTGTACCATATGGTGAGGGTCTCCATTTGACTGGAAGTGGGAGGGATTCGTTGGAAGAAGATGTCTGCAGCCGGTGACTTTGGAGTATTGAAGTATGTTTAGGAGATAGAGAGATTTTCAAGAGAATTTTTTTCTGTAGGTGCAGTGGCAGACAGCATATGGCAAAGAAGACATGTGTTTTCATTGTAAGTTCTGTTTTTTAAATGTTCAGATCTTGAGAAACAAGTGTTCCAAGTCGGTTGATACTGGTGAGACTGACATTGATCCTGTTGTGGATGATGATGACATTTTCCCACCATATGTGTTGAGGCCTGACGATGGTGGGCCACGAGTCACAATCAACACTGCCATTGGACATATCAATAGGTATGGCATCAAATCATTTGTGTGAAAAGTCTGGGAATGTTTTACAGTTTAAGTCTAAACCTGTACATTTTGTATTGTTTACAATTTTGCATTTGCCAGTCTTCGTTTAGACTTGTAGTATTTTTGATAAAGAAGTTTCTTTAAAAAATTTTTTTTAATCAAAAGGCTAAAACAGTATCATGCAACAATAAAAGTTTAGTATTCCTTGGCAAGGCTAACGTAATGAAGGCATTTTAAATTGAGTTTAATTTAATTTTATAATTGTCAACCAATTTTTTCTAAATCCTGAAGTTTTTTGTTTTGTGCTGTAACCTAATTGGATAATGTTGAATTTTCCCCTAGCAATAAAGTAAGATTGTGATAAACTAATTTATATTTTTGGGTACATTGTAATTTACTTTGTCCAGAGCTGATAAAATTTCTAAGAGCTAAGAAGAGCAGATGCATTCCCGTATTATATATCAGGATAATTTCTATTCAGAGACAAAATAAAGGAGCAAGTATAAGATTTTCTTTGTAACCTTTTATTTTGAAACAATTTCAAACTTTAAAGTGTTGTAAGAATACTAGAATTCACATATGTCCTTCACCCAGACACCAAGAGAGACTCATCCAGTTTTGTGAGAATGTTCTACAAAGCCTAAAGATCCACTGTAGAGTCAGGAGTTGTCATGATGCTCTGTTCTCACATCTTCCTAATCTTCAGTTTGGAACCATTCTTCAGTCTCTCCTTCACTTTAATGACCTTGAAACTTTGGAAGATGACAGGCTGTCATTTTGTAGTCTGACTCTCAATCTGGGTTTGTCTGGTATTTTCTCATGATCAGATCCAGGTTACACATTTTTGGGCAGCACATCCACTGAAGTGATGGTGTATTCCCCTCATCCCATCTTACCAAGTGGCACACCATGTTGATTTGTATCCTTACTGGTGGTAACTTAGATCACTTGAGTAAAGCCTGCCAGTTTTTTCTACTGTAAAGTTACCTTTCACCCCTTTTATAATTAGTAAATATTTCATGGGGAGATAATTTGAAACTATGTAAAATTTATTCCTCTTCTCAGTTTAACTCATTAGTGTAAGCATTCTTTGATATTTTTTGCCCAAATTGATTATTACTATGATGACTGCTAAATGATGATTTTCTAAATCCCTTATTTTGTATTTATTAGTTGGCATTCTACCATCCATTTATTCTCTCCATTTATTCATTCTTACTATTTTTTGGTGTCTGTGAACTTTTGGACTGCTGTTTTATTTAATGAGTTATAATCTATCATTATCATTTACTATTTGTTTTGATGTTAAAATTGTTTCATATTTGATCAATAGGAACCCCTTAAAGCTAGTTTCTGTGTCTTTTTAACGTGTCACCATTATGTGTTGAATACTTCCTTGTTTTATGGCACAAGACATTCTAGACTGCCCCAGCCTTGATGTCGGCAATTTCCTCAACATAAAAGGGTCTGGTTCCTTTTCGTAGAGAATCAGTTGTGGTTAGAAACCAAGAACTGGACACTGGATTTATTCATTGCTACTGGAATATTGCTACTGCCAGGCTTTTTTAATGGACAGAGCTAGAATATTTGTTTGTTCATGTTTACATCTGTATTTGTTTCAGTGTCTATCTGTTGATACCTCCATTTTTAGTGTGACACTAGAAGTTTCATTCTAGATTTCCTCTTTTTTGTCTTTGTGCCTCCGTTCTCTAATAGTGAGAAGTTTGGCTCCCGTTGTCTTCAGAATAATTAGTGTTCAGTCTTCCTGTATGTAGCTGTCTGTTGCTCTGTAGGGCTGCCACTGTGGTCAGGTGCCTTGCTGCACAGGCTGCAACCTCACAGGGTTGCTGCCCATCCCAGCACCCTCCTGATGTGAGTCCTGTCCCAGCATCCCTTTCTGGCTAGCTTTCTGCCCTGCTCCAACCTTCCCTGGTGTTGCTGCTCAGTGAGCTGCTCTGCTGTCCGTTTTGTGACAGCACTGGGCTGTCCTGCCCTCTTCCTTACACATCCTGGTAGTTGTTGGCTAATGTAAGATGATTAAGGAACAAACACTGGCAGTATGTTTTCCTACAGATTCAGAACAATACTTTGTGCTCTTTCTGTTATGGTAACACTCGACACATGTGGCCATTTAAATTCAAAATTCAAATTAAAATAAAATAAAAAATGGAGTTTCATAGTTATACTTGTCACATTTCAGTGCTCACCAGCCACTGCCTTGTTGGACATCGCAGATACAGAACATCTTTCAGAAGTTCTGTTAGACAGCACCATTCTGTCTTGTTGAAAGTTTGAAGCAATGAAATTTAAATGCTGCATATAAATACAAATCCAGTAGAGAAGAGGCACATGACAAATCAAACTTGAGATTGTAAATATCTGTATTTTCTCAGTTGTAGATTCAGCCTCAGAATTTTTCTTTTTCTTCACAGATACTGTGCTAGATTACCAAGTGATCCGTTTACTCATCTAGCTCCTAAATGCAGGACCCGAGAGTTGCCTGATGGTACATTTTATTCAACTCTTTACCTGCCAATTAATTCACCTCTTCGAGCCTCCATTGTTGTAAGTTTAGAAAAAGAAATGATTGTTATCTTTTAAAATATGTCATTAGTGGAAGTTTTTGAGCCTTTCTAAGACTTGCAAGTTACAGGTAGATTTGATTTTAAAATTTACTTTCATGAGCAAGAACCTTGTGTTGACAGATCAAAAATAAAAATGAAAAACAAATTTACTTTGAAAAGTAGATCTATAACTCTTTTGTAGTCATCTAGATGTTCATGTTTGTAACGGTCTGTCTAATTTACAGACACTTAGAACTGGACTAGGTGATCTCCGAAGTTTCTTCCAAGATGTTACAAACATAACACATTTTTTACAGAATGATTCAACTGTGGCTTAGACACTTAGAGTGATATAAAATTTATTAGAGATCATTGCATTGTTATAGTTATTTTGTTGGTGACTCAAAAAATTCGCTTTTTATAAATACTATTCATGGTCTCAGTACTGATTTCCAAATATTTCAAGATAACTAGTTTCTATTACACATAAAAAGCTGCTCAATACTATTAATGTTATAGCTATTTCTTGATAAATCTTTATTTTGTCTTTTTGTTACATATTTGTCGATTAGTAAAAATAAGATACTTTAAATCTTACTGAAATTTAAAGTCATCAAAATTGTAAAATCTTAATTATGACTTAGTTTTTACTGGGCAGGACTTTTAAAGATGAATATTTCAAATATGGAGATTAAGGATTTTTTTAAAACTTTCTGGAATTTTTAAAAATAAAGAATTTTGTTTTGGTAAATTGAACTTTAAAGATGTTGGGGCCGTAGTTTCATAGGTATTTTGTGTGCTAGAGGTAATATAGCTATGTGCATATACAATGGAAAGGTTTTTGTTATTTTCAGGGTCCACCAATGAGCTGTGTACGATTGGCTGAAAGAGTTGTAGCTCTCATTTGCTGTGAAAAACTGCACAAAATTGGTAAGGACATTTGAAAAGCATATACAAATAAAATTAAATTACAAACAGTGTAAAAAAATATAGATAACTTGATAGATCTCTAAGGATTTTGTAGAGCTATGCACTTGCTGCTCTTAGAATACGTCAGTGAATATAAGTGTGTTAGTAACTTGGAGATCTTACAGTGTTGTGGGAGCTCTTTGTTTTCCATAGCTTAACTGCAGACAACTGTCATTGATTTGCTCTCACTGTCTCCCTTTACATACGTAAAGGTCTTTTCTTAATTGTTGAATCGTATACTGTGAACACTTGTGTCTTATTGTATCAGTCTCCAAATTAGTCTACGCTAGTATAGAAATTTTTTTTTAAAAAATAGACTCAGTCTTTTTTTTTAATCCTGCTCCTTCTGTATAAGTGGACCCATTTTCTGTGGCTTTTTGGCATTCATATGTGCCAGTGTCATGTTTAGATGTTTTTGTTTCTGAGCCTTAGGACAGAATTTGCTGTCCTGCCCGTATTGAATATATGGATGCCAAAATAGACTTTACGTGAAGCGTGAATCTGATTACTTTTATATTGTAAAAGGCAAAGGTGCTTTAGTTTTCGTTACTTTTCCAGGTCCTGCTAACATAGTTGTGTTCTAGATTATTTACTAATTAATTAAATAAATTAGGCAAAATTAATTGGCAAAATTAATTTTGCCTAATTAAATTAATTAGGCAAAATCTGGATTATGTTAATTCTCTGTTTAAATTTCTTAGGCGAACTGGATGACCATTTGATGCCAGTTGGGAAAGAGACTGTTAAGTATGAAGAAGAGCTTGATTTGCATGATGAAGAAGAGACCAGTGTTCCAGGAAGACCAGGTTCCACAAAACGAAGGCAGTGCTACCCAAAAGCAGTTAGTATTGGTTAGAACGGAGTCAAAACTAGTCTTTCTGACTTCATTTCCTGCTACATCCCATCTCAGTTCCTCTGCTTGTTGGGCTTCCCACATCCTTGCAGTTTGGCCCACTCTGGATCTCAGCTGCTTTCTCCCATTCACAACTTCTCTGTGATCAGTCCCTTTCCTTCCTTGTGTGCACTGTGTGCTCTTCCACTTCAGAGGTTGCTTTTGTTTTTCTCCTCAAGGATTCTTGGACCCATCTCTCATATTCTACACAGAATGAGTTTATTTCATTTAAAGAGACATTCTTTGTTTCATTCATTTTAGTGGTGTGATTCTTGTTTTACTTATAATTTGGGGCAAAGACGGAAGAGGATTTGTGTGATAAAATAAGCAAGTGAGAAGATGCCCTCTCAAGATGACAGGTACACTGGAAGGTAGAAGCACAAATGTTCATTAAGAGTTAGGATGCGGGCTGTTGGGAATCAAAATAAGTTATTTCCATGGAATGTTTCTAACTCAATCTGTGGGCATTCTAGCAGAGTTCACACATGAAAGCATCTCTAAATGTGACTTCTAGTAATAGCCATAATTGGCTGAAGCATTTATTTTTAAAATGTGTTAATATTTTTTACCTCATAAGAACCCCAAGCGAAAGCAGCATTTTGCTGTGTGTGGTAGTCCCGCTTACCCTTGGAGGATGTGTTCTAAGACCCTCAGTGGAAACTGCAGATAGTACCAGTCCTCTAACAGCTCGCCATTGTTTCATTATAACGTCGATGAGGAAAAACGCATTCATTCCCAGCCAGGACCACTGTTTATGTGGAGTTGGCACGTTCTCATATCTGCTTACTCCGGTTTCCTCCTACATCCCAAAGTGTGGACATCAACTGATCTGCTCTGCCCCACTCTGAGTGAGCATGGGAATGCGTGAGTGTGTGCCCTGCACAGGGTGGTGTCCTGGCCGGGACGGGATCCCACTTGGGGCCCTGAGCTGCTGGGATAGACTCTGGTACTCTTGGCCCTGAACTGGAATTAGTGGGTGAATAATCATCTTCATGGTTTTTATTCATCTTTCTTAAGTGTCTGTATGGCTCACATTTATTTTAATGTTTAATATTAAAAGTTTTTTTAATTTAGAAATTTGATGATATCCTTGTAACCAGAAATATGCTGGAGGAACTTAACTCGTTTATGTCAATTAGCCTGTGGGAAAATTGGTTTCTTTCTAATTTGTTTCCCTTAGCCAGTATCTAAGAACCTGCTGAAGACATTAACTGAGGACTTATAGCATATATTATGCTTTTAAAAATAGGTTTATACATATTTATGTTAGTTTAAGGTATAAATTAGGCACAATAATAAAATAGAACAACTATAACCATATACTGTAATAAAAACTATGTGAATGTGGTCTCTCTCAAAATATTGTACACACTTATGTATTGGACCATGACTAACCTCTGGTAACTGCAACCATGGAAGCTGCAGATAAGGGGGGCTGCTATGCTTGTATCTTAGCCTAAATATGTGGTTCTTTGGTTTTGCTTATGCAATTTTACTGAGTTTTTACTTTAAAAAATTTTGCATCCCACTTAGCATTTTCAAAATTCAGAATCATGTTAGTTTTTTTAAAAATCGTGAACATTACCCATTTTCCCAAAATGCTTGTTTCCCTCACACCGAACTTTCACGAGACTAGTTTTGTATGATAAAGTCGCTAATGATAAGTGTTTCGAAAAGCATAGTACACTGGCTGGGTGTGGTGGCTCACACCTGTGATACCAGCACTTTGGGAGGCTGAGGCAGGAGGATCCCTTGAAGCCAGGAATCAGCGACCAGCCTGGTCAACATAGTGAGACCTTGTCTCTACAAAAAAAAGAAAAGCATAGTACTGCCTGGCATCCCTTTTAGTTAATAGATACATTCTGTATTTTCTGATTCTTTATAAATTGTAACTGTCTCTTACTCTTAGCATTTTTAAGTACCTTTTAACTACAGATGCAATTCTTTTTTATTGAACCTCAGGAACTGCAAGACCATAATCTGAACGATTGTGTTAATGTTGAAAGTCTAGCAGCAATCTCAATTTAATTATGGTTCACTCACATAATGAGGGAGCCATTACAAATGATATTGGTTCTTATCGACTCTGACAGATATTCACTTTACAGTAACTGGGGATAAAAATCAGGTTATCTCACAAACACACACAGACATGCATATACCCTAATATACACCAGTGTTGTATGATTTTATTTGTATTGAAAAATATAAATGTATATGTTTCTATATATTTATACATTGAAAAAAGTCTAGGAAATTGTACAGTATATCTAAATGTTAATAAAGGTTACCTTTGAGTGGTTTTTAAAACTTTATTTTTATTTTACCTTTATTTTCTGGTACTGGTTTTTAAAACTTTATTATTTTTTTAAATTTTATTTTCTGATACTCTACAGTGAGTACCTAAAAAGCCCAAGGAAGAGATGAGTTTTCTTGTCAAAAAGAGATCAAATGAGTAGTATTTTTAAAAAGGCCCTACAGTGTTAAATTGTGTTATATGTAGTTTTGATATTAGCTATATAGTCAACAGTGCATTGTATGTGAACCTGGGCCACTGTCGGCAGCCTCTGCCTGCAGCCTCTGCCTGAGATTCGCTGACTTACCCAGCAGGGTTAAGTAATTAAGAGGTGTCATGCCTTGGGTATTTTCTTGGCTTTGTCTCATCAGCTTTTAGTAAAGCCAGAATTAATTTGTTTCCTTGCTTACATCTGGAAAAGAGGGTGTTATACTGAGCATGATGCTTACTTTTCCTTTCCAACTCTAGATTCCAGAGTGTTTGAGGGATAGTTATCCCAAACCTGATCAGCCCTGTTACCTGTATGTGATAGGAATGGTTTTAACTACACCTTTACCTGATGAACTCAACTTTAGAAGGCGGAAACTCTATCCTCCTGAAGATACCACAAGATGCTTTGGAATACTGACAGCCAAACCCATACCTCAGGTAGATATTTCATAATGACAAAAATATCTTGCTTAAGAAAAGGAAAAAACAAAAAACTAGTAGTAAGTACTTTTTGTTACCTCAGTATGTTTAATATTTAAAGATTAAGGTACCTCTTGTATTTCTCCACTGGAAAGCATAATTTCTCTTCTGAAGTTAACTGTAATGGAATAAAATATCTGCTAACTTTGAGGGGTACTTTGTTTTTCCTTTTGCTAAGATTCCACACTTTCCTGTGTACACACGCTCTGGAGAGGTTACCATATCCATTGAGTTGAAGAAGTCTGGTTTCATGTTGTCTCTACAAATGCTTGAGTTGATTACAAGACTTCACCAGTATATATTCTCACATATTCTTCGGCTTGAAAAACCTGCACTAGAATTTAAACCTACAGACGCTGATTCAGCTTACTGTGTTCTACCTCTAAATGTTGGTAAGAAAAAAATCTCATTTGATAACTCTAAATTAGACACATATACAAATATATAGCTTAGGTGTGAAACTCAACTGTATCATGTTTTAACAAGCTAAAGAGTCTTTTTTCTCTTCTAAGTTAATGACTCCAGCACTTTGGATATTGACTTTAAATTCATGGAAGATATTGAGAAGTCTGAAGCTCGCATAGGCATTCCCAGTACAAAGTATTCAAAAGAAACACCCTTTGTTTTTAAATTAGAAGATTACCAAGATGCAGTTATCATTCCAAGGTAGGTATTTAAATGGAAAGGAAAATGGTGGTGATACTTTGTTTTAAAAGAGGCACGTATTCACATGGGAATATAGGTGGGCTGTGACTTTAGCATTATAATTACTAATAGGAAGTATATTAGTCAGGCATGGTAGTGCATGCTGCAATCACAGCTACTCAAGAGGCTGAGGTGGGAGGATTGCTTCAGCTCAGGAAGTCTAGGCTGTGGTAAGCTGTGTTCACAGCACTGCACTCCAGCCTGGGCAACAGATGGGTGGGGGTGGGAAACGTAAGTAATCTATTAAGGTGGACATGTTCTCTCTAGTTTACTTGCTTAAAAAATAACACCTAAAATGTATTATTTTTAGGTAAGGAATTTTACTTTGTAAAGGGTCAGATAATCTAAAGTTGATAGACTTTCTTCTTAAAATCTCCATCTTTTATTCTCCAAAGTCTTATAGAATTTGATTATAAATAATATCATTTCTTAAAATTTTTGTAAGGAATAATAAGCTGTATGAAAATAGTAAATCTGGAATGTTTTTTTCCTTATTTTATAAAAATTTGAGGAATAGAGTTTTGGAGCAATAAAATTAAATACAGGCAGTTTTCAAATAATTATATTACTGGTTGTAATTCAGTCTTTCATTTTTTTTTTTTCTTTTTGCACCTCAGAACCATATTTTAAATGTTTTCAGGACTATCACTGTCATAGATGATGCAGTAATACATTTTATATGACAAGTGTCTTTAATGTTTAGCATTCGTAATATACAAAGTATTTACTCTGTTTGGATAGTGTAAATTTTTTATGCTCTTTATATTGTTGAAATAGATAAAGGTGCCATTTAGCTTCATGTGTCATCAAAATGTGGATATTTAGAACAAGAATAATAATAAAGTGGGACAATAATGTGTCAGTTTTTACTTGATAAAAATATGGTTCTTATATCATTGAAATATATTTGGAATTAAAATTTTTATTGTTACTTATTTTTAATCTTTTGAATTCTTAATCATGACTCCATACTAAAAACAGTTGTGTTTTGAAAATTATTGATTTAAACCAAAAGGCAACTGTTCTTTGTTTTTCTTTTTTAGATATCGCAATTTTGATCAGCCTCATCGATTTTATGTAGCTGATGTGTACACTGATCTTACACCACTCAGTAAATTTCCTTCCCCTGAGTATGAAACTTTTGCAGAATATTATAAAACAAAGTATAACCTTGACCTAACCAATCTCAACCAGCCACTGCTGGATGTGGACCACACATCTTCAAGGTAATGGGCTTCAGAGATGACACTGGAATTGCACTTGAGACATTCTCACCAGACATCACTAGATATGCAGAGGTTCACTGTCCCCCTGCCCACCCGTGAACTATCTGAATTCAGGAGATGCTTTGCACACACACTTGCCCAAGAGGCAAGGTAGCCCAGGAGGCTGTAGTTTAAATGAGCTCTTCAGGTGGTTTTCGGGCACAGTGAAGTTGAAGAACCACTGTGAACATGAACTCATTTTTGTGTGTTTGATAAAATTGTTTTGGAATTTTTGCAGACTTAATCTTTTGACACCTCGACATTTGAATCAAAAGGGGAAAGCTCTTCCTTTAAGCAGTGCTGAGAAGAGGAAAGCCAAATGGGAAAGTCTGCAGAATAAACAGGTAATGGGTTAATTGTACTAGCATAACTCACTCTTTGTTTGAGTATTAAAGATTATTAAAGATAAGTTTGAGGCTGGGCACGGTGGCTCAAGCCTGTAATCCCAGCACTTTGGGAGGCCGAGGCGGGTGGATCACGAGGTCAAGAGATCGAGACCATCCTGGTCAACATGGTGAAACCCCATCTCTACTAAAAAAAAAAAAATACAAAAAATTAGCTGGGCATGGTGGTGCGTGCCTGTAATCCCAGCTACTCAGGAGGCTGAGGCAGGAGAATTGCCTGAACCCAGAAGGCGGAGGTTGCGGTGAGCCGAGATGGCGCCATTGCACTCCAGCCTGGGTAACATGAGTGAAACTCCATCTCAAGAAAAAAAAAAAAAAAAAAAAAAAAAAGATAAGTTTGAATTTTATCAAGTTAAATGCATGATTTGTTAATTTTTTAGAAGTTACGTAATCTTCAGATTTTGTTTTGTTTTAATCAGTATTATGTATTGAATGTTATTTGAATGCTCCTTTTGGTAAGTATTGAGAATTTTGTTTTTATACTTGGCCTATTAATGTAGCACAAAATCATCCTCATAAATTCTATAATAAATCCCATTTGACCTTAGATTATTTTTACAAATAGTTTTTAAAATTAGGTTTTACTAGCATTTATGATTTTCTTTATCCATTAGTGAAATTGATCTTTTCCTTTTTAAATTCTTTTGTGTGTGTGCTTTGTATTTATCTGTCCATTTTTCCCCTTGCTTGAAGATACTGGTTCCAGAGCTCTGTGCTATACATCCGATTCCAGCGTCACTGTGGAGAAAAGCAGTTTGTCTCCCCAGCATACTTTACCGCCTTCACTGCCTTTTGACTGCAGAGGAGCTAAGAGCCCAGACTGCCAGCGATGCTGGTGTGGGAGTTAGATCACTTCCTGCAGATTTTAGGTATGCCTGTGCAGTCAGCCAGGAAGAACACAGATTACGAGATCCTGTTTGCAAAAGAACAGAATTAAGTTAAAATTGTATATAAATAATTATTAAGTAAAAAGAAAATACGGATATCTTATGCTCTTGTCAAGTCTCAGAGGGAAATGAGAGCCTTAAGGTCAGAAATAACCATTACTTCTTCAGCCATAACGGCTGGAGTGAGAATGAAACCATTCTTTGTTACTGTGTCAGCATTTTCAGTCTGTTTTTCTCTTAAAAATCCAAATATATGTTAAAAAGCAATAGTCTCAGCATGTTCTTTGTCTTCATTATTTTCTTCCCATTTACTAATGGGAAGAAAGTCTCTGCATTCTAAAGAAACTATTGGTTTAAGGATTCCCATTAATTTTGGTTATCCAGTTGGCAATACCAAGACTATTCTAGGGATTGAAGGAATTTTAAAATATAATAGGAATAACCACAATATTTGTAAGTAGTTACTACAGTGCCAAACACTAGCTTAAATGCTGTACCTTGTGTTAGTTAGCTCATTTAATCATTAAGACAGTGCTGTGAGTTAGTAATTGTTAGCCCTGTTTTCAGGTGCAGAAGTTGAGGCACAGAGAGTTTATGTAAGTTGCCCAAAGTTAGTCTGGGTGAACCAGAGTGCCTGGGGTTCCAGCCCATGAAGCTAGGCCCTCATATATGAGGTCCTGCAGGATGCTCCCAAGCTTCATGACCTTCTTAACTACCACACTGTGCTCTAGGCCCCATAGTCTAGAGCCAGGGATTCAAGCAGTAGAGAAAACCATGTCCCACTTTATAATTTACATTGTGCTGAATTCCAAATAATGTTAATTTCTGGCCTGGGAACTTGCTTCTCTTCTAAAGTGAGAGTACATTTATAGACATCTTTGTTTTTGTTTTTGTTTTTAAATTCAAATTGCTGTCGCTTTCAGCCTAGCTGTTTTGAAGAATCTGATGAAAAGTTATAAAAATGTCTTTGCAGATACCCTAACTTAGACTTCGGGTGGAAAAAATCTATCGACAGCAAGTCTTTCATCTCAATTTCTAACTCCTCTTCAGCTGAAAATGATAATTACTGTAAGCACAGCACAATTGTCCCTGAAAATGCTGCACATCAAGGTGCTAATAGAACCTCTTCTCCAGAAAATCATGACCAAATGTCTGTGAACTGCAGAATGTTGCTCAGCGAGTCCCCTGGTAAGCTCCATGTGGAAGTTTCAGCAGATCTTACAGCAATTAATGGTCTTTCTTACAATCAAAATCTTGCCAATGGCAGTTATGATTTAGCTAACAGAGACTTTTGCCAAGGAAATCAGCTGAATTACTACAAGCAGGAAATACCCGTGCAACCAACTACCTCATATTCCATTCAGAATTTATACCATTATGAGAACCAGCCCCAGCCCAGTGATGAATGTACTCTCCTGAGTAATAAATACCTTGATGGAAATGCTAACAAATCTACCTCAGATGGAAGTCCCATGATGGCCGTAATCCCTGGTACGACAGACGCTATTCAAGTGCTCAAGGGCAGGATGGATTCTGAGCAGAGCCCTTCTCTTGGGTACTCCTCAAGGACTCTTGGCCCCAATCCTGGACTTATTCTTCAGGCTTTGACTCTGTCAAACGCTAGTGATGGATTTAACCTGGAGCGGCTTGAAATGCTTGGCGACTCCTTTTTAAAGCATGCCATCACCACATATCTATTTTGCACTTACCCTGATGCTCATGAGGGCCGCCTTTCATATATGAGAAGCAAAAAGGTAAGATGTGATTCTTTTATTTTGAGCAGTTAATTATTTAGTGTACCTGAAAGTGGTTTGCTGTGTTGGATAATTTCAGAGAATGAGAAAGTATCATGCTCAGAAATTGCTACGCCAGCCGAGCACAGCTGCTCCCTTGTTCCACCAGAGCCAGCTAAAGCCTGTGGTAGAACCACCTGGCAGTTCATGAGTATTGCTTTACACCGATCACACATTCAGGTTTTGGGGCTTAGCTGATCTCCATGTGCCTTATTTATTGACTGAAATCCAGTTCAAAGGAAACTATGAAAGTGTGTGCACCTCTTGATCCTGAGGGTGTTATGAAGAAATGTGCATTGTAGTCAGTCAAGGAGCTTCTGCTTTGTTGAGTTAAACACTTACTTGAGAGGGTACATCTTGGTTTACAAGGCATACAGACATGAGTAAGACACGGGTCTTATGGAGGAGCTCATCTTCAAGATTTTGGAGAGTGGTGGGGAGAGAGTAATAATAGGCTTCAAATAGCTTGGCAGCTCTCCAGCGGGAAGAGGATGACACCAGAGTTCTGAGTAATAAACGCTCGATAGCTCAGAGGAAGTGTGTGCTCTTAAACTCAGCATGGAGTAAGACTTAAAAAATGAAGGTAAGATACTAAAGTGATGGTGGAAAAAAGTGTCATAAGGCAACATGAGCCTCCTGGACAAATACCTTAGAAAGCTGCTGATCACCCTCAGCCTTCAGAAGGAAGGAAGGAGCATCACTTGTGAATCAAGGATGACATTAATGGAGGAGGCAGGTTTACAGTGCAAAAGCAAAGTGAACAGATGGCAGAGCGTGTCAGCATGAGGGAAGCAGCTGTGGCAGCAGTCAGGAATGTGGAAATACCTGAGAAAAGGCTTGCAAAGGCAGGTAGGGTGAAGCTGTGTGTGAGAGGCCTTGAATGCTGGGCTAAGGTTTGCATGTGTTTTGAATGGAACTTCAATAGAAGGCACTGTTGAAGGAACATTGAGCAAGGAACTATTAATATTAATAAAGTGGTAGTTTAAAATGATTAATCTGGTAGCAGAATGTAGTGTGAGTTGAAAAGCAAATCGAAACCAACAGCAGAAGCAGAAAATGGGATAGCACTAGAGTTCTGGTAGAGAGGAAGGGGCTGAGGTGAGTGAGAATTTCAGAAGAAATAATTTCAGCTAACACTTTAGAAGTGCTTACTCTGCACTATAAAAGATACTGTAATCACACACACACACACACACACACACACACACATATATATAAACCTAATTTAATTCTTACGATTCTGACTTTTATTTTCCCCATTTTATAGGTGAGGATAGGCTAGAGAAGCTAGCTTGTGAAAGTGGCCCAGCCTGGGTTGAATCCAGACAGCCTGGCTTTGGAGACCTCACCCTTCCCCATCACACTAGCCATTCCTGATAGTACTGTCACACCAGGTGCCACACCAAGCATTTCACAAGTGTTCTCTCGTTTAATCTTCTCCAAGACTCTGGGAAGGAGCCGACACATCCCTATTCTGCAGATGAAGAAATTCTCACTAAAGACAGTCGAATAGGCTCACGTCGGGTCACCTAACTAATCATCCCAGGAGAGTCAGGAGTGTTTCTGAAGCCTCCCAGGATGCTCTTGAGGTGGACTGGAGGGGCAGCCATAACAGCCATGGAAACGAAACTTGGGGGCAGGGCCAGGGCCAGGGCCAGGGAGGTAGGGAGAAATAGGGGAAGTCAAGGTTAGGGTTGGGGTTTTAGACCTCAGAATATGAAGTGGAAATGTTTAGTGAAATGTTTAGATAATTGAGGCTGTGGGATTAAGATAGGGTTTTGTAGAGTAGTTGTCATGTGGAGGCTCTGAGAATGGGTGAGATTTCCGAGAGGTCGTTGCAGGAAGAAAGTATCAGAGGCATCGACGAGTGTGGCATAGGCAGTAGGATAGGATACTCTGCTGGATAGGATAAGACAGAGGTGACTTTCTGTTACAAAGCTCATCCATTTGTCTGGTCAGAAACCTTGGACTCCTTATTTCTGCAGAAAGAATGATCACTCCCTCAGCCTGCTGTTCAGGCTCTTTCAGCCCTGATGCGTTTTGGATCCTAGGCAGGTGGAAGCCCTTTGCAGCTCATTGGATGGACTCCACGCTCACACCCCCAGCCTTGGGGCCCTTGCTCTGTCCTGCCGTCTGCAGAGAGCTCACCCCTGTCATACCTGTTTGGAATTTTGCCCCATATCTGAGACCTTACGTAGCTGTTTCTTGTCCATCCTGCCCATCATTTCTGTCAACTTGGAATGTGATTTCCCTCCCTTCAGAGTCCCCGTTTCACTTTATCCTCCTCTTGGCACTGGTGATGCTTTGTTCTCTTAGCTTGGAAAGGGAAGCTAGCATTTATTTCAGCCTGCTACATTTCAGGCAGTGACAGAGTACTTTCGGCCATAGTGGTCACACGTGTATACTCCTTTTCCCTGCCAGCCTGTGTGTCGAGAGGACTGCCTCTCTGTCCTGCTGCTCTGATTCCCTTGAGGTTGCCTAATCGAGTGCCTCTCATGGTAGGTGTCTGTTAAACAGTAGTTGAGTTACATGGGAAGAGGGTTCATGAAGTACTTAATAAGAAACTCAGGCTTATGAAAATGGGATTGACAATTCTAGACCCTAGTTTCCAAGTAATAACTTGACAGTAATGATGTGAGCAAATTAGGAAGGAGATAGAGGCATTAGGAAAAACCAGTCCAAGAGGATAGACAGTAAAGCTGTTTCACTGATGTGAATAAACAGAAACCTTTTGCTTCAGTTTTAAAAATTTGAATAAAACCCCTGTAAAACAAAGGAATAATATTTGAGAGAGCGTTACAGTTGAAATCCTATTTGTGGCTTCAATTCTAGGAATATAGCATTCTTTGAGTTCTGTTTGGTGCCAGTTTTCACTTTGCAGCTAGAGCTGATGGTATCATCCCCCCATTTCATTGAAGATATCGTGACATCTTGACTTTTTATATGGGTTCTTTTTTACTTTGATAATTCCAATTAGCAGTTTGCAGTTTATATCATCAGGTTGTATTTTCAAGGCTTTGATATTGTCTGAACTGTTTCTTCTCAGTCATTCATAAGGAATTTGCATAGTTACATACATTATTTTTTGTGCTCTGCATCTTATATTCAGAAATATTTAGCACCCTTGCCCCTGCTCCCAAGTTGCCAGTTTCCATGGCTGTTATAACATAATACTCTTTTTATAACATGAATGGGTAGAAAAACTGTAGAACCCTTATAATTAATTGATGACCTATAATTAATTAATTAATTTGAAGAACATTTAATTGAGGATATGTTAATATGCCTTGAATGAATTCCAGCAGTGATCATTTATGGATACATGTCCTAACATTTTCTGCTAAAGGTCAGCAACTGTAATCTGTATCGCCTTGGAAAAAAGAAGGGACTGCCCAGCCGCATGGTGGTGTCAATATTTGATCCCCCTGTGAATTGGCTTCCTCCTGGTTATGTAGTAAATCAAGACAAAAGCAACACAGATAAATGGGAAAAAGATGAAATGGTAAGATTTTTGTGTGTGTGTGTAACTAGAGGGATTTACTTTTTGGTGAGCCAGAGAATTTTGTTTTATTAATTTTTGTTTCCTTTTCTTGGTAAGTTTATAATAGAGTAGGTATTTGATATATTCAATTAATTCCTTCAAATACACTGTCTTTTCACAGAATTCAGAAATAGTGTTATAATTTTGATGGAGGAATTATTTATTATTTTTATTATTTATTTTCCAAAGGCATAAGAGTATGTGATTATTTATTTTCCAAAGGCATAACAGTATGTGATGTTTTGACTTTGGGTTTTGCTTTTTAAAAAAAAAAAAAAAATTCACTTTGCTGTTATTACAGTTTATCCTAGATCCTTAGCTCTGTTCAGTGAAATGACTTTTCAGTGACCTGTTATCTCCAGTCTGTCTGTGAAATAATTCATTTCAGTTTATCTTGAGTCTTGCTTTTGTAGCTCAGGGTTTTCCCAGTCAGGACTCCTGTGAACTTAAAAAAAATCATCCATAAAGATTATTATTTTCTGGAAATAATTTAAATCTTTCTGGTGACTTAAGACTCCAAATATCAGCAACAGCCGCTTCATTTTGTCTTGTCTTGAAGGCCACCAGAGGGCACCTGGGAGGGCCTCTGAGCTGCAGAAGTCAATGCGGTGGTGGTTGACTGGGAGAGTTCTGTTGCCTCTTCCAAAGTTAAAGGCGATGCTTCAGACACTTTTCATTTCCTGGAGTTTTATTTTGCATTAAAGATAAATTGGCTCATTATTACTTCATTTTTACTTCAGGCCAACAATGATAATACCATTTGTTTCTTTCACTGGTTATATTTTCTGAATATACATTTTCTTCACGCCTACTTTCTGACACATGTATCCTATATATCTGCCTTTAAGTATTTCCAGGTATCATGTTCTGTGACACTATTCTGATTTTCACGTGTTTATTGAGGATATTTTTAACTCATGTAATATTTGTCTTATTACAAAATTAGAACTTATTTGGAAAAGCATTAAGGGAATATTTTAATGCAAGTTATGTCAGAACAATTATTTGTTATTAATTTAGAAATATGTAGAACCTTAGAGGAAAATGTATAGATTTTGAGCTTTGGAAATAGTAGTTTATTTCTACAAATAACATTCCAGTAGTAGTCGTCCTTCTTTGTTAATACTTTTCATAACATATTTGGCTCTTTTAAAAACTTGTAGCATAAAGGCGACATTGGCATGCCATGTTTTGTTTTGTTTTGTTTTTTAAGATACAACGCAGAGTTCAATTTATTTTTCTTAATTGTGTCTGTTGGCACTTTGGTTATTGGAATTCATTAGAAATACTGTTCCGATTTTTATTTAGTAACTTATTTTTATTGAAATATAGGCCCTTGCATTATATTGAAAAGATACACCGTGGTTTTGGCTGGTTGCATTGCTGTTCTTCCTGCCTTTATCTGGCCCTTCAGCAAATGGGCTTAACTGAAACCTTTGCATGCTAAAACGCCTCTTACTAGAAGAGAGTGTCGAAGTTGACTTGAACTGTCAGAGAAAAGGATTTCATGCTGCTGTTTTTTCTTAAAAGGCTTGAAGTGCTCTTGAAAAACATTTTACGAGGTAGAACCCCACTCTTTTGTAGGTGAATAATCTGAAACCCAGAGGCACTAAAAGGCTCTGCCCAGGATCACACAGTTTGTGATGAAAGTCAGCCCTTTGTGATTTTTGTGCTCTGCCACTTTTGGCTTATGGTAGCACCTTTCCAAAGATACAGAAGGGTTTTTTTTTGTTTGTTTTGTTTTTTTTCAATTAAAAAACATAGTGTCTTATTTAAAAATTGCAATTTAGCCCTTTTTTGTATTAAGGACCAAACAGTAATCAAAAGCATCTTCATGTTGCCTTGGAAAAGTATAAGACTTTTAGCAGAAGATAGTTCCCTGAGGTCTGCCACTGCAGTTTCTTTTGGTGTTCTTCCTTGTTTGTGAAAAGGTGTTTTTTTCTTAATTAAAACAATGAAAAGGTATGTAGTTATGGCTTGGCTTACTGCTATTTCTTTTCAGACAAATATAGTGTTTATACCTCTTTTGAGTCTGGTTTAAAATAAAATATTTGCAGTATTTAAAAAATGCTTGAAGATTGTAACTTTTTTTGTCAGAACATTCTGGAAAGTTGTTACAATCAACATTGACACACACCCTTCGCCTCCATCCACCAAGTAAAGTTTTTTGCTTTTTTAAAAAAGTTGCATAACAGAAATTTGGCATCTTTCTAGGATTGCAAAATAGTTACATCATTACTAAAATCTAGCCCATTATTAAGATTGTCACTCACAAATAAGCTTTTGCCAAAGAAATTGGAATTAGCAAAGATCTTTTGACAGAAATTGGATTGTTGTGTTTCATGTTAGTCTAAATTTTCTTCTATTTTTGTCAGCTATGCTATAATCTGTTCCCCTGATTACTGTAGCTCAGAGTGGAGGGAAAAAGCATAATTTCTCAAATTCATAGCTTAGTGTAGTGATCACTTTTATTTTTTAAACAAAGCAATGTAGTTTTTTATTGTAGCAAGTTTACTTTGATTTGAAGTACAAATAGGGACAAAAACTTTATTATAAAATCCTATTGTACATTTTTAGTGTTTTAAAAATAATTTTATTTGGTTTTTATATTCTTAATTGCAAAGGTAATACTTTTCTACATCCAGAATTTCATTTGATTAATTTGAAAATCAAATTACCACATTTTCAAACTTTGTCAGCAAAATTGAAGATATCTGTGATCAGTTTATGAGTGCTTTCATTGTGTATCCTGCTGGAGTTAGACTTCTTAGTTGCAGTTTTGCATTGTGGACATTAATTTTAACTTTATATCCATGTTCAAAATCCTTAAAGCTTCATACTGGATAAAGGTCATTTTATAACTTAGGAGGCGAACATTCAAAGAACATGTTTTACTTTGTTTATATGATTAAATAACTTATTTTATGTTAATTGAAAACAAATGGCCATGATTTTAAAGTTGCCTTTTAGTATTTGTGGTTGTCATTTGAAATTATCCATGACCCTTGCTTTTATTGAATTTCAAAACCTTTTACAAACAGCAGCTATGTCTCCCCTCCTTCCCCATTCTCCCTTGTTTCAGACAAAAGACTGCATGCTGGCGAATGGCAAACTGGATGAGGACTACGAGGAGGAGGATGAGGAGGAGGAGAGCCTGATATGGAGGGCTCCGAAGGAGGAGGCTGACTGTGAGGATGATTTCCTGGAGTACGATCAGGAACATATTAGATTTATAGATAACATGTTAATGGGGTCAGGAGCTTTTGTAAAGAAAATCTCTCTTTCTCCTTTTTCAACCACTGATTCTGCATATGAATGGAAAATGCCCAAAAAATCCTCCTTAGGTAGTATGCCATTTTCATCAGATTTTGAGGATTTTGACTATAGCTCTTGGGATGCAATGTGCTATCTGGATCCGAGCAAAGCTGTTGAAGAAGATGACTTTGTGGTGGGGTTCTGGAATCCATCAGAAGAAAACTGTGGTGTTGACACGGGAAAGCAGTCCATTTCTTACGACTTGCACACTGAGCAGTGTATTGCTGACAAAAGCATAGCGGACTGTGTGGAAGCCCTGCTGGGCTGCTATTTAACCAGCTGTGGGGAGAGGGCTGCTCAGCTTTTCCTCTGTTCTTTGGGGCTGAAGGTGCTCCCGGTAATTAAAAGGACTGATCGGGAAAAGGCCCTGTGCCCTACTCGGGAGAATTTCAACAGCCAACAAAAGAACCTTTCAGTGAGCTGTGCTGCTGCTTCTGTGGCCAGTTCACGCTCTTCTGTATTGAAAGACTTGGAATATGGTTGTTTGAAGATTCCACCAAGATGTATGTTTGATCATCCAGATGCAGATAAAACACTGAATCACCTTATATCGGGGTTTGAAAATTTTGAAAAGAAAATCAACTACAGATTCAAGAATAAGGCTTACCTTCTCCAGGCTTTTACACATGCCTCCTACCACTACAATACTATCACTGGTAAGGAGCCCACGACCAAACTTCATTTCTGGGAAAATGAGACTTTGTGTTTATTGCATTGTGTTGGCCTTGTAAAAAGTGATGTATGCATGTACAGTGTTGGTGCTTAATATTCGAGGGATGGGGGGAACAAAAGGAAAAGAAAGAATTCTTTATTTTCCCTGTTATTTGGGGAGTACGTATTGCTTTATAACTTTGGTTGTTGGGTGTATGGCTATCTTATATACCCTGATCAATGTCATTTTATATGCTGCCTAATTAGAGAAATTCGAGCCTTAGTATTTTGGTGTGTTTTCCCCATTTTATCCTCCAAATACCTTTCTCTTGCCCATTCAGTGCTGCTTTTGGTTCTTGATTTAGTTGTATATTCTGGATGTATTTCCACAGCCTTTTATTGTTCTTCCTGGACAAAAAGACCCCTCCCTTAGGGTCTTTCTAGAGATGGATAGATTAAAAGATTAAAAGCAATGATTTCCCGAGAAGGTTGCATGGCCCTTGCTGAGACTCTGCTGTCATCTACTTCTCATTGCGCTCTGTATTTTTCCCTCCTTTAATAGGCTCTCAATCCACTAGATTAGAAGGGAGAACAAGCCCCTCAGACCCAAATCAGCTTCAGCTTGTGAAACACAGCTGACGTTTACAGATTTCTGTATAGGAAGAATAAGTGCCTGAATTGAGAATACCAAAGCGAAGTATAAAGTTTGTAATTTGTGTAACAAAAACAATGTAGGTTAAGGTGATCAGCAAAATATATAAACCAAAAAGTGAAAAACGATATGACTCTGGACTAGAAAGACTGTTGAAACTGAAGCCTAATTTTCATGATGAAGAAATGATGCGTGGCTTTCAACTACACCCTGTTGGAAGTTTCGGAGACCTGGGTTCTAGCCTAGCACAGTCTCTGCCTCTTAACTCTTTGCTTATTATGGGACAGGTCACCATCTGTCCCTGCCTCAGTTTCGTCAGCTGAATGGATTATTTTAATCACTGTGAGAAGCTAGAAAATCGAGGTGTTGATTTAACATTAATCATTTTCACATTTTGCTAACCAGTTTACCTGCCTTTGCTCACTTTCACAAGTCTTCTTTCTCAATCTCTTGGTTTGTGGTAAATTCATTTCTATAATAGCTCAAGTTAAGAAGAGGGTCTCCTTTTCCTGTCATCTTGTGTAACAAAAATTACCCAGGAGTGGTATACCAGGAATGGTATTACACACATTCCAGAGTATAAACGAGACTTTAGCGGTGGCAGCACAGCATAGCCACATGGGGAGGTGTGTGCGGCCCTGGTTTCACTGAAGTGATGATGTGTGAGGGAGACTGGAGAGGAAGGCCCCAGCACCTGCCCAGACAGCGCAGTGCCACAGAAAAGCGTTCAGTGATCATGATAGCACTTGTGAGGTTTTTTTTCCTTCTTAACAAGCATTAGTCTTTTGACCACTTGAAGATTTTATGACCCTAATTTATATAAGAAACGTGCTTAATTTGCCACTAAAATTTAGTTTCCAGAGGCTTTTTATTAGTAAGTATCATATGTCAAATAATTTCCATATTGAAGAATATATGTATGAAAATGTAAATGCAAATCTTTTTGGGGTTTGGGGATCAGTTGCACATGTGGGGATAGTGTAAATGCTTCTGCATGAGCTCATGGTTCCACTTTGGATCCTCTCAGATTGTTACCAGCGCTTAGAATTCCTGGGAGATGCGATTTTGGACTACCTCATAACCAAGCACCTTTATGAAGACCCGCGGCAGCACTCCCCGGGTGTCCTGACGGACCTGCGGTCTGCCCTGGTCAACAACACCATCTTTGCATCGCTGGCTGTAAAGTATGACTACCACAAGTACTTCAAAGCTGTCTCTCCTGAGCTCTTCCATGTCATCGATGACTTTGTGCAGTTTCAGCTTGAGAAGAACGAAATGCAAGGAATGGATTCTGAGGTTAGTGCTGTTCAAAACTATGCTGAAAAAAGCAGTCTGACTAGGAGTCTCAGTAGTTTCAGAGTTCTGACTGCATAGTAGTGTAAAGGGACATCGGGAGGTCAGGGGTGTGGGACTTGGTGTGCTGCGTGTTCTCTGGGGAGTGCTGAGTGAACTGCAGCTTGCAGGTAGGCCTCTTAAACTTGTCTGCCCCCACTGTGGGCTGCGTGGTCACTCAGGTGAAGAGAAGGAGCCAGGGCCTTTCAGTTATTTACTCTTCCCACACCTTCATGAGGGCTTCCAGCATGGAGGTGTGCCCAAGAAGTGACGTCCGCTGCCTGGCCCCAAGGCAAGTTTAACTTTAGTGAAAGCCCAGTGTCATTTCGTCTTTTTTAAATGGATCCGAAATATTTGCTAATATCTCAGGGAAGTATCATAAATGTACATTCTGCTTCTACTTGAAGTAGGAAAATCTAATTTAAAAAACAAACTTCTAAATTTTTGACCATTGGAATTTGGGAGGCTTCTATTGTAAGTTCAGCCAAAGGCTCTCTGGTGACAGAGCTAATTCTAATGTGTTTGTGAGCTATTTTGAGTTTTTGTAGGAAAGGATATTGCTTAGATCTTTCCAGTCTCTTACATTCATCTGCATACCTGTGTCCCCCAGAGAGACTCTCATTTCCTCTTCTTCCCATTTCAATTCCTTTGGTTTTCTTATTTTTGTGGATTTTCTTATAAGAAGTCAAGAAATATAGCCTTTACACTAGTAGCTGTTTTAGTTGTCCTTGCTTTAGTTCGTACCTTCCCCTTTTTAATTGCACCAAACTTTTGCTGGGGAGTAGTGAGTTTCTCTTTGTATGAGAAAAATTAAGAGTAGGTTTGAAGTCTAGCCGCAGGGCCAAGTGTCACACCCTGCCAGCTGCCCAGATGTGCACTGGAGGAGTTAGTAGGCCCTGCTCTTACTTCACCGTGCCTTTGTGCTCTTGTCCAAGATGAACAGTCTGAGCCAGAGCATGGAATGCTGTGAGGCGAGAAGGTAGGAACATCTCGTAGACTTCCAAGTGTTATCTAGTCTCATTCTTTAGAAATAGTTAAGCTTGAAATTTGAGGAATTAGCTAAAATTAGATGGATGTCAGTGGGCCATATTGGTTTTGTTAGTTTTTGTTCATTCTTTCCTTCCCTTTGTTTATATAAACATATGTATAGAAGTTACAAGAACTGATGGGAAATGTCATGGTCTGGCATTTCTAACTTATTATTTGATCTTAAGAAAGTCTCTTTACCTCTCTGGGCCTCCATTTCCTCAGCTGTAAAAATAGAGAATTAAACTTCGTAAGTTTTAAAATTCCTTTCTATCTCAAAACCGTAATATATGAACAATAAGTCTTTTTTTTAAGCAGTTAGCAGTATAAATGTATTATATAGAACTTTGTTTGGCTAAACAACCTATTAGAAGTTAGTATTTTCCCACTTTCTCTTTATTTCTTTCACAAATGATTTGTGTTGATTTTTAGAAAAATTAGTACAAGTAAATAAAAAGAAAGCTAATTAAATTTGCCCAATCATACTACCTCAGAAATAAGCCATATTAACATTTTGGGATGAATTGCAGATGTTTATAGATATAAAGATATGTAAAATGTAAAATGGAATTCTATTAGGTGTAGCATACTATAGCCTGTTCTTTTCCCTTGTAATATATTGTGGCTGACTTTCTGCGTGCTGATTGCTATCGTGATGCTCAGGAGCTACATGCCAGTCAGCACGTGGCTGATTTATTTAAAGGGTTCTTTAAGGCTGGGTAAAGTAGTTTTTAGTTAGGATGTCTAATAATCATGAATGTGATAAATACATTTATGTATCTAGTTACCTCCACAAAATAAGTTCTTAGAGATGCAATTACTGCATCAAAGAATTGTGAATTTTTCAAAGGCTTTTGATACAGATGTAAGATTTTATTAATTTGCATACCTGTTATGTCAGACATTCTGTTATAGTGAACACATATCTAGTGGCTTAATGAAGAGGGAGCTTGGAGGAAAATATCTTTCAAGTAGAATTCCCCTAATTCCCTACAATAGCGATTTCTGCTCCCCAACCATAGCAGCACCAGACCCAATTAATACTGTTGAATGTTTGCCAAGCAGCTAGGGGGTAGAACTGTTTTCAAGTACAGTTATTTGATTATGAGTGAACTTGAATTTTTTCATACTTTTATTCACTATTTCTAATTCTGTGTTAAAGTTGTTTAAATTTAGAAGTAATCTTTTTTCATATGCTGGGTACAGAATAGTAAATGGGGTGGGGATTTTTTTCTTGAGAAGTTTGAAAAACATTTTTTTAAAGGATGTTTGTTTTACTACTACAATATAGTAGGCATACCATAAATTGTATTTTTCCCCTTATTAAAGAAGTAACAAAAATCGTATTATATCCAAGAAAAGAAACACACATCTGTGGACTGCCTGTAAAAGTGGCCTTTTTTGCTTACAAGTCACTTTTCTCTCTGTTAATAGCTTAGGAGATCTGAGGAGGATGAAGAAAAAGAAGAGGATATTGAAGTTCCAAAGGCCATGGGGGATATTTTTGAGTCACTTGCTGGTGCCATTTACATGGATAGTGGGATGTCACTGGAGACAGTCTGGCAGGTGTACTATCCCATGATGCGGCCACTAATAGGTATTATTGGCTCCCTTGAGAAAGAAACCCACAAATTAAAAACAACTTCAAAGATAATATTCATATTATTCTCTCATTTTGTTTGCAGAAAAGTTTTCTGCAAATGTACCCCGTTCCCCTGTGCGAGAATTGCTTGAAATGGAACCAGAAACTGCCAAATTTAGGTAAGCAAAAAATGTACATGGAAAAAAATTAACTTAAAAATATCAAGGGGGAAAAGTTCACAAAGATACTGTAATGATTCTGAGAAATATTTACACAGTGGCGTGCTGGTGTCAGTTTTCTATTTGTAATCTGATTGATTTCCTTTTTTCCTTCTGTTTTTATGAAATAATGCTGAAAAAAAGACTAGATGGCAGCCCTGTCTGTCGGGGGCATGCAATTGCAATAAGTCGTAACGCGTGTTTCCTTTGTGTGGTGTCAGCTTATACGTGGCACTCTGGGCCTGAGAGTACACACTAAATGCTGATTGACAGTGATAATAAATACTTCTGACTTCTAATTCGAGATGTTTGGATTTTTTTACAGCCCAGCTGAGAGAACTTACGACGGGAAGGTCAGAGTTACCGTGGAAGTAGTAGGAAAGGGGAAATTTAAAGGTGTTGGTCGAAGTTACAGGATTGCCAAATCTGCAGCAGCAAGAAGAGCCCTCCGAAGCCTCAAAGCTAATCAACCTCAGGTTCCCAACAGCTGAAACCCCTTTTTAAATCCAAAACAAAAAAAATTAAGGGGAAAATTATTTAAATAGGAAAGGATGACTTAAAGTTGATTTTGAGCAGAAAGAGTTGAAGGCAGAATTTAACGTTTCTTTAATAACAAGATAGATAACAGAATAAAACATTTAACATATGTATAAAATTTTGGAACTAATTGTAGTTTTAGTTTTTTGCGCAAACACAATCTTATCTTCTTTCTTCACTTCTGCTTTGTTTAAATCACAAGAGTGCTTTAATGATGACATTTAGCAAGTGTTCAAAATAATTGACAGGTTTTTGTTGGCTTTTTTTTTTTCAGTGTAATTTATGTCAGCTTTTATTAGTGTTAGAAGGCCGTGGAGCTTAAACCTCCAGCAGTCTCTAGGATGATGTAGATTCTTCTCCAGCTCTCCATGTGTGCAGTAGTGCCAGTCCTGCAGTAGTTGATAAGCTGAATAGAATAAGGTTTTCGAGAGAAGTGCGCCAATGTTGTCTTTTCTTTCCACATTATACTGTGTAAGGTGATGTTCCTGGTCGCTGTTGCACCTGATAGTAAGGGACAGATTTTTAATGAACATTGACTGGCATGTTGGTGAATCACAGTTTAGTTTTCCGATGCCACATAGTCTTGCATAAAAAAGGTTCTTGCCTTAAAAGTAAAACCTTCATGGATATTCTTTAATCTCTGATCTTTTTGGAACAAACTGTTTTACATTCCCTTCATTTTCTTATGTATTAGACGTTAAGACAGCGTGATACTTACAACTCACTAGTGTAGTTGTAACTTATTGCAAGATCATACTAAAATTTCTGTCATATGTGTACTGAAGTCATTTTAAAAACCAGAATAGGTAGTCTATGGATATTTTTTATCATAAAAATGACCTTTGACTAACTACCCCATTTTACTAAAGACCTCCTGCTAGGTAGTTCCACTGATGGAAATGTTTATGGCAAATAATTTTGCCTTGCAGGCTGTTGCTCTAACAAAATAAACCTTAGACATATCACACCTAAAATATGCTGCAGATTTTATAATTGATTGGTTACTTATTTAAAGAAGCAGAACAGAGCACCTTTACCCTTAGTCTCCTCACATAAATTTCTTACTGTACTTTTCATAATGTTGCATGCATATTTCACCTACCAAAGCTGTGCTGTTAATGCCATGAACGTTTAACGTTTGCGATAAACTGCCATAATTTTGATACGTGGTTTAGGTCGTTAATTTAGATAAACTAGCTCATTATTTCCATCTTTGGAAAAGGAAAAAAAAAAAACTTTTTTAGGCATTTGCCTAAGTTTCTTTAATTAGACTTGTAGGCACTCTTCACTTAAATACCTCAGTTCTTCTTTTCTTTTGCATGCGTTTTCCCCTGTTTGGTGCTATGTTTATGTATTATGCTTGAAATTTAAATTTTTTTTTTTTGCACTGTAACTATAATACCTCTTAATTTACCTTTTAAAAAGCTGTGGGTCAGTCTTGCACTCCCATCAACATACCAGTAGAGGTTTGCTGCAATTAATTGCCCTGTTAATTATGCTTGAAATTTAAGAAAGCTGAGCAAAGGTGTCTCATAGTTTCCAGCACATGATTCTGAAATTGATGCTTTGTGGAATGCTGCATTTATGTGTAAGTGACATTTGAATACTGTCCTTCCTGCTTTATCTGCATCATCCACCCACAGAGAAATGCCTCTCTGCAAGTGCACCCACAGAAAACTGTCAGCTCTGCTTTCTAAGGAACCCTGAGTGAGGGGGATATTGAGCTCCTCCAGTGTTTTTTGTGGTCTCCAATCTTAAACTTAAATTGAGATCTAAATTATTAAATGAGTTTTTGAGCAAATTAGTTTAGGTGACTTGTTTTAAAAATATTTAATTCTGATTTGGAACCTTAGATGTCTATTTGAGTTTTTAAAACACCTTAATGTAAGATATGGCCAGTTAAAACAAAGCAATTCTTGAATATAACTGTAAAAATATACAGTTAACAAGTAAGGCTGGATGTGAATTTTATGGTGAGGGTGATTTGTGATCAAGTTTAATCACAAATCTCTTAATATTTATAAACTACCTGATGCCAGGAGCTGAGGACTTTGCATTGTGTCTGATGCATGTATCCCATTGTTACGGGATTCTTTTGATTCCTGGCACCAAAATCAGATTGTTTTCACAGTGATGATTCCCAGTGGAAGAAAAATGCCTCAATATATTTGTAACCTTAAGAAGAATATTTTTTTGTTAGTACTAAAATGTTCTGACTTAGACATGATTAGGTCATACATTCTCAGGGGTTCAAATTTCCTTCTACCATTCAAAATGTTTTATCAACAGCAAACTTTAGCTGTTTCACTTTTTGTTGGAGAAAAATAGTAGTGGATTTTAATTTGACTCACAGTTTGAAGCATTCTATGATCCCCTGGTTACTAAGTTAAAAAACAAAAAAGTATGAGTGAGACATATGAAATGGTTATGAATGCTTTTGTGCTGCTGATTTTTAATGCTGTAAAGTTTTCCTCTGTTTAGCTTGTTGAAATGTTTTGCATCTGTCAATTAAGAAAAAGAAGTCACTCTATGTTGCCCCACTGTACAACCCTATATGCCATCCTTCTGTTCCTGTGATTGCAATGTGAGACCGAATGTAGTATGGAAAACCTTCCTGTGGGGTGTGGTTATGCTCTGAGCACATGTGTAAAGGACTGGGGAGGCGTATCTTGAAAAAGCAACTGCAGAAATTCCTTATGAGGATTGTGTGCAAGTTAGTTGACATAAACCTTCATTTGTAAAATTTTTAAAATTTCTTTTATAATATACTTTCCGCAGTCCTAACTATGCTGCGTTTTATAATAGCTTTTTCCCTTCTGTTCTGTTCATGTAGCACAGATAAGCATTGCACTTGGTACCATGCTTTACCTCATTTCAAGAAAATATGCTTAACAGAGAGGAAAAAAATGTGGTTTGGCCTTGCTGCTGTTTTGATTTATGGAATTTGAAAAAGATAATTATGATGCCTGCAATGTGTCATATACTCGCACAACTTAAATAGGTCATTTTTGTCTGTGGCATTTTTACTGTTCGTGAAAGTATGAAAAAGATTTGTTAACTGAACTCTTAATTATGTTTTTAAAATGTTTGTTACATTTCTTTCTTTTTTCATTTATATTATGTGAAGTGATGAAATTTAGAATGACCTCTAACACTCCTGTAATTGTCTTTTAATATACTGATATTTTTATTTGTTAATAATACTTTGCCCTCAGAAAGACTCTGATACCCTGCCTTGACAACACAAAGCTTGCGGCTGCTTTGGTTCATGAATCCAGGTGTTCACCTGGCAGTCAGCTCCTTCAGTGGCTCACTGGAGGCAGGTGGGGACTTCAGAGGCCCCCTGGAATCCAGACCAAGCGCAGTTCATGCACAAGGCCCCGGTGATTTAAAACATTGGATCTTGCTCTGTTAGGGTGTCTAATCCCTTTACACAAAATTTAAGCCACCAAACTGAGACCTTGATACCTTTTTTAAACTGCATCTGAAATGATGTTAAGAGTCCTTAACCCATTTGCGTTATCTGCAGAAGAGAAACTCATATCGTGTTTATTACCTCTATGGTTGTTTTAATTACATTTGAATAATTGTATTTTTCCAACCACTGATTACTTTTCAGGAATTTAATTATTTCCAGATAAATTTCCTTATTTTATATTGTACATGAAAAGTTTTAAAGATACGTTTAAGACCAAGACTATTAAAATGATTTTAAAAGTTGTTGGAGACACCAATAGCAATATCTAGAAAATGTGCATTGAGACCATTGTATTTTCCACTAGCAGCGAAAGTGATTTTTCACAACTAACTTGTAAATATATTTTAATCATTACTTGTTTTTTTTTTTCTAGTCCATTTTTATTTGGACATCAACCACAGACAATTTAAATTTTATAGATGCACTAAGAATTCACTGCAGCAGCAGGTTACTTAGCAAAAATGCAAAGGTGAACAGGAAGTAAATTTCTGGCTTTTCTGCTGTAAATAGTGAAGTAAAATTACTAAAATCAAGTAAAACTAATGCATATAATTTGATTGACAGTAAAATATTTACCATCACATGCTGCAGCTGTTTTTTAAGGAACATGATGTCATTAATTCATACAGTAATCGTGCTGCAGAAATTTGCAGTCTGCACCTTATGGATCACAATTACCTTTAGTTGTTTTTTTTTGTAATAATTGTAGCCAAGTAAATCTCCAATAAAGTTATCGTCTGTTCACTTTGTGTCCTTTCATCTTTTTTCAGTTCAAATGGGTAATAATATTTAAATAATAGTAGCAGAAATGATCTTTATAATGTTTTAATTCCATGGTGAATCATATGCATATTATAATACAACATTTTTTTTTTACCAAGTTCTGCTTCATGTCCGCCTGTAGAATTATATAGTAACAGCTGTCTTTTTTGAAGACTTAAGTAATGCCAATCTGTTTTTTGGAAATTCTGTCATATCGATTGATGCATTCTAGGTCTTGGATTATTTAGATGATATGTTTGACACATTCTTTAGGTGAACTTGGCTTTTCTAAAATCAAATGGACAGAATGTTTAGTTTCCAAGTTTTTAGGACACATTTCTAATACCGTTGATTAAAAAATAATTCTGTCATTTTAGCCTTTTGACCCAGCTTTTTTTTTGTAACTCAGTAAACCAAGCACTAATATGAATCATTTGGTTGTAGGAACAAGATGGTAACAAGTTTTTTAGAATGAGAAAATGTTTAGTTTTCCTTTGTAAGTTTAAATTAGTCTCTTCCTTTCCTCTCTCTCTGCTCTAAACTAGAGGAGAAAAAAGTATCTGTATTTTAATCCTGAGGAATTTGGGCAAGTGCTACATACTTGTGTGTGTTGGTGTTACTGCCCTGAATTCTCTAGATAGTTCAGGCCAAGCCTTAGGGCCACAGGTCCTTCCTGCCAGCATTGACCCTACCCTCCAAGACAAGCAACTGCTCACGTCTGCAGCTGTCATGGCTGGTAATAAAGAACACAGCCATGCTGAATGTATCATTTTGCAGATTGTGATGTGCGTGAAAAGAATCCAGATGGGATTGAATTTGTGTGTGTGCAGATCTACGAGCGCAATGTGTGTTTTAGATGAAATGGTAAATGCCCAGTCACAGCCAGCTCAGGTCTGTGCGCCTTGCAAAGATGGAAGGAGCAGGTAGATGTGCAGGCCAGGAGAGAGTGCTTTCTAACTGGTCTGCAAGGCAGTTTATGAACAACTTTTAGAGGGCGTTTTTGTGTGTATGTGGTAAAATACACAAAGTTTACCATTTGAGCCATTTTTAAGTGTACAGTTTAATGGCAGAAAGTACATTTGCAGGGTTTTGCAGTCCTCAGCACCCTCATCTCCAGAACTTTTTATCCCAAATTGAAACTCTACCCATTAGACACTAATCCCCCTTCCTTCCAAATTCCTGGCTACCCCTCATTCTACTTTGTTCTGTCTCTGAATTTACTTTTTTTTTTTTTTTTTTTTTTTCAGATGAGTCTCTCTGTTGCCCAGGCTGGAGTGCAGTGGTGTGATCTCGGCTCACTACAACCTCTGCCTCCCAGGTTCAAGCAATGCTCCTGTCTCACCTCCCCACTAGCTGAGACTACAGGCGTGTGCCACCACACCCAGCTAATTTTTTCTATTTTTAGTAGAGGTAGGGTTTCACCTTGTTAGCCAGGATGGTCTTGATGGAATTTAACCTTGTGATCTGCCCTCCTCGGCCCTCCCAAAATGTTGGGATCACCCTGCCTGAATTTAATTTTTTTAAGTAGCTCATATAAGTGGAATCAGACAATGTTCATTCTTTTGTGTCAGACTTAACTTCACTTAGCCTGAAGTCTTCATGGTTCATCCATACCATGACGTGTCAGAATTTGCTTTTTAAGGTGAATAATATCCCATTGTATGTATAGACCACATCTTGTTTATTCATCTTCCAGTGGGTATTTGGGTTGCTTCCACCCATCAGCTATTGTGAATAATGCTGCTGTGAACGTTAGTGTAGACATATCTGGGTCATTGGTTTCAGTTCTTTATATACCCAGAAGTAGAATTACTGGATTGTATGGTAATAATGCTTAATTTTTTGAGGAGTCTCCGTATTGTTTTCTGTAGTGACTGAACTGTTTTACTTTCCCACCCGTAATGCACCAAGTTCCAGTTTCTTCACATCCTCATCAATACTTGTTTCTGTGTTTTTGATTAGAGCCATCCTAATGGATGTAAAGTGGTATCTTACTGTGGTTTTGATTTACATTTCCCTAATGATTAGGGATGTTGAGCATCTTTTAATGGCTTATTAGCCATTTGTCTCTTTGGAAAATTATCTATTCAAGTCCTTTTTACCCATTTTTGGATTTTTACTGTTGTTGAGTTTTAGAAGTTCTATATATATATATTCTGGATAAGAGTGTTATGGTTTTAGCTCTTAATTGGGTCTTTGATCTTTCGTACAGATGCTTCCCTGTTCACGATGGAGTTATGTCCCAGGGAACCCATCGTAAGTATGAAAATGCATTTGGCTCATACCTGTAATCTCAGCACTTTGAAAGGCCAGGGTGGGCAGATTGGTTGAGCTCAGAAGTTCAAGACCAGCCTGGGCAACATTGCAAAAGCTCATCTCTACTAAAAATGCCATTAGCTGGGTGTGGTGGTGCATGCCTGTAGTCCCAGCTACTCAAGAGGGTAAGGTGGGAGAGATCACCTGAGCCTGAGGAGGTCAAGGCTGGGGTGAGCCATGACTGTGCCACTGTACTCTAACCCTGGGCAACGGAGTGAGACCCTGTTTCAAAAAAAAAAAAAAAAAGCATTAATCCACCTAACCTACTGAACATCATAGTTTAGTGTAGCCTAACGTAAATGTGCTCAGAATTCACATCAGCCTACACTTGGGCGTAATTGTCTAGCACAAAGCCTATATTTATTTTTTCATATATTTAATTTTGAGACGGAGTCTTGCTCTGTCACCATACTGGAGTGTAGTGGTGCAATCTTGGCTCACTGCAACCTCCGCCTCCCGGGTCCAAGTGATTCTACTGCCTCAGCCTCCCAAGTAGCTGGGACTACAGGCGTGCGCCACCGTGCCCAGCTAATTTTTGTGTTTTTAGTAGAAATGGGTTTTCACCATGTTGGCCAGGATGGTCTCAATCTCTTGACATTGTGATCCGCCCACCTCAGCCTCTCAAAGTGCTGGGATTACAGGTGTGAGCCACCACACCCGGCCGGGTCCTGGAAGTATGGTTTCTATTGGATACGTATCACTTTTGCACCATCAGAAAGTAAAAAAGTCACTTGGACCATCATATGTTGGGGACCCTCTGTTTAGAATATAAGGTAATGGTCCAGCTTCATTCTTTTGCATGTGAATATCCAGTTTCTCCAGCACCATTTGTTGAACCCTCACATTTTTCTACTGCTCTCCTACTGAAAGGGCGCTCTGCAAACAGTCCTGCCACCCATCTCAGCTGCCCAAACTAAAAGCTTACGAAGGGTCATACTTGGTTCTTGTCCTTCTCTTGTGTCCTGCATCCTATCAGTCCATCAGCAAATTGTTTATTTGGCCTCCTAGGTAAAGCATAATCCCATTTCCACTGCCAGCACCCTGATCGATCAACCATTGCTTTTACCTGGATTATGTCAGAGCCTCCTAATAGGGTCTTCCTACTTCCACCCTTCGCCCCTCTCTGTTCTATTTTCCACTTTGTAGCCAGAATAATCTAGTTAAAATAGAAATCAAAATAGACCTAAACTCCTCCTATGGCTTACAAAGCGTGTGCGATCTGACCTGTCAATGGCTGAGTCGTCTTCTCTCGGTGTGCTGTAGTCACGAGGATTTTCCTGGTTTCACTGCACACTAAGCTCATCCTAGTACAGAGTTCATGGGAGGCTCTGGGGTCGGACTTCCTGTTTGTGAAGTCTTCTCTGGTCCTTGACTGTATGACCTTGGAAAAAATACTTTCTGTGCACTCCTCTACATTAGTGACTATAGTAATAACTAGAACCCACAGGGTGGTCATGAGGATTAAGTGAAAGAATGCAGGGAAGACGTTTGGTGCAGAGCTGGCATCCAGAAAACACTCATCTTTAGTGGAAATGTGTTAGCGTGGTTGGCTTCTATCATTCAGGGTCCCGTTCAATTACTCTCAGAGGACAGCCCTTATTAATATAAAGTAGCCCCCCATCACTATCATGGATTTGCATTGCACTGTATCACTTTGTATCTGGCTGTCCCCCACGCCATACTAGAAAGGATGCCCCATGAGGCTAGGACCTCATCTTGCTTCCTGCTTTAGATCCAGTACTAAGCACCCAGCCCAAATTTGAGAATGTGAATATATGGTCAGTTATCTAACCCATGTGGCTAAACCAAACCTTAAAATAAGGAGCACTGTATCACCATAGGGCTAAAAATGATTTGTTTTCCTTTTTACCTCTCTGACTCTAAAGCAACCATTTTCGGTAATTAGCATTGGAGATCAGCAGTCACCTGCAGGATGCTGAGTGGTGGGGAGCCGGGAGCAACGTACACACGTGTGTGCACATTATCCCCTTAGATATTTACTCAAAACCTATACTGAGCTCTGTGCCCTGCCTGATTCATACCTCCTAGACCTTGCTCGTAGGCCCCTGTAGTTTGGATTAGGCGTTCACACTTATTCATCCCGATCTTTGGGCCTGAGCTCTCAAAGCTACAGAGTATCAGCACGTTCTCCCCAACTTTGGAAATTGATCACAACCCTAGTGCCACTGTAGTCAGTTTCCTTGCCCTTCCCTGGATCAGGGAGAGTGGGTTTGGAGAACTTGCTCAATCTCAATAGTACAGGTAGTAAGCTTTTAATTTTTTATTTATTTTTTTGAGGTAGAGTCTCACTTTATCACCCAGCCTGGAGTGCAGTGGCGCGAACACAGCTCACTGCAACCTCAGCATCCTGGCTCAAGTAATCTCCTACCTCAACCCTCCAAGTAGCTGGGACTACAGGCCCACACCACCACACACAGCAAATTTTTGTATTTTTTGTAGAAACAAGATTTTGCCATATTGTCCAGGCTGGTCTCAAACTCCTGGAGTCAAGCCATCTGCCCACCTTGTCCTCCCAAAGTGTTGGGATTACAGGTGTAAGCTTTTTTTAAAGAATATTTTTCCTATAGGAACTACAACCACGTGGTTAAAAACACCTAAAAAATGTACAAAAAGCCCTACCATGAAAAGTATTTCTCTTTATGTAG